AATCAGAAATTTGACTGAGTCACCACTCTCTTTTTCTTTGTTATTATAAATTCTCAATATAAGAACTGCTAAAACAAAATGTGAACTCTTACATAATAACCTCATGTTTTAGTGTCTTTGATTATTGTGTATGATGTGGCAACAGAGATCAGAGCCACACACAGTCAAAGAAATAAAAAGTGTACATCCTGGTCTGAGTTCAGTTATAAAATCCAAAAAACCAAAGTTTCAGTGACAATGGATGGCAGTAGAGGAAGAGGACCTGGTGTCTGTTTTAAAGTAGTGTAGCCAATTTTGCCAGCATTCAGCACTGGAGCTAAAAGAAACAAGGCGCACTGCCCTCCATTTCAATCACAGTAAGTTTTATAGTTATAGTAATTCTGTTATGCTGTGATGCTCTGTGTGCAATGAAGCAGCTAAAAAGTGCAAAATTTGTGAGTGACTTTTGAGGCTTTTCGACGGATGATTCGAATTATCGAATGACATGTAGGGGGCGGTCCTAGTGGGTTGTCAAATCACTACACATTCAAACATAAAAACATAAAAAGTATGTTTTTTTGTTATATTAGCACTTTCTGTACTTTGGGGGGAAAATAATAACAGCTGCAACTAGCTACAGCAGACAAAGACTTGGTTGATTTCCAACTCCGACTCCCCAAATGAAACCCTCCATTGGAGGATGTAATAAAACATGTGCTCTCTCAGAATCTTATGACTCCAAATTGGCACCAACATTACCAAGTGTTTGTTTTTTTTATCACCCTAAGGGTTAGGATAGTACATACACTCACAGACTGATTGTTTTTCTGATCTCACTGTCTATAGCTAAATCCACAGAATCGGCCCAAACTTTTGTTTTTTTTACTGTAAGACTGATGCCAGTTGAGTCAACCGTCATTCTCTCCTTGGCACAATCTGCTCCTCCAGGAGAAACTAATTAGTTTGGGAAGCAATATATTCTGAAGTAGATCTTGATATCACTGTTTTGAGGCCTTTTAATTGAAATGGCTACGGTTATGATGCATACATAGTGATGGCATAACCTCCAGTCGTACAGGGCATCACCCCAAATTTTATGGAGATGAAAATTTACTTTTCATACAATTACAGTCAAATGTCAAAATCACTCTTGGCCCTTTTTTTAATGGAGCTAGATGTCGAGTTTCCCCCCTTTCCTGTGATTTGTCAGTAACCTTTTCCCTGCACTCTCAGATTTAATTTAGAAGACTCCTCCACCAGTCAGTCATCCAGCCTACAGAGTTTGATTCGGTAGTTTTGAAGCAGTGGGAAAAGAGACACTGGCATAGTTTGACGTCTCGGCTGGGTGACAAACACCTTTGTGGTCATCTTTTTCCCTCCTTGTGTGGGTTGGAGAAAATGTTAGGATTGCAGACAGAAAGACGGCAGGCTTGTGGTGAAAAGATTGCCATTTGGACAGGTAAATGAAAGGGAGCGAAAGGAGAGGGCGATGAGGATAAAAGAGGAATACAGATAAAGGTAATATGGAGAAAATGGAGGGTTCTAGATGCCACACATATCTGAAGGGGAGGGAATGAAAGGACAATGAAAGAATGATATGAAAGCTAGAAGAGGGTGCAAGGAGGAGAAAGAAAATGAGAGAGAGAGAGGAGAGAGATCAGGGGCTGAAGAGAGGTAGAGGAATAAATGCACTATTTGAATTATGTAAAATAGCTGCGTGGGAGAGAAGAGGTGTGTGTGTGTGTGTGTGTGTGTGTGTGTGTGTGTGTGTGTTTGTCTGAGTATTAGTGTGACTGTGTGACAGAAGAGGCTGAGAGAGGGAGAGAGCAGAGACAGACAACATGAACAACATGATCAACATGAAGAGTCAGGGTGAGATAGGCTGCAATGCTGGAAAAATAGAAATTAGAACAAACGAACAAATGCAACCATTTTGCACGAGAGTTATCATTCTGTAGATTTTTCTTTGATAGGGCCATGCAGTGAAAACACGAGGAAAAACAAGGAAAGAAAGACATGAAGAGAAAACAAGGAAACAACAAAATGTGCAGAAATGTAAAATAGGCTTTGATATGATCCTACTGTAGTTTGGAGACGCTAAGAATGATTATTTAAGCAGGACTTTCTTCATAGGTGGTCACCCTGGTTTTATTAGACAAGGGATTGTTTCATCTTGAGCTTGTGGAAATGTGCAGCATGCTGTTCTTATAATTTTAAATGTTCACAGTCCAGTCAAAAGCCAGAATCGTGTGTGCTCTTCTTTTCTTACCATTCTAGCTGCATGACTGTAGGGATGACTATGCCAGTGTGTTTGAAATATCTCAACAACTATTGGATGGGTTGCCATGAGATTTTTTGCCGGTGTTCATTGTCCCCACAGGATAAATCCCAATGATTTTGGTGTTCCTCCTACTTTTTTTTTAGCGCCACCAGCAGGCCAAAATGTTCACTTATATAGGGAAATATACCAGATGGATTGGTACAAATGTTTGTACAGACCACATTGGGTTTCCAGACGATGAATCTTTAAGACTTATTTATACATAAAGCTTCGTATTCGTGGTTTTAAAGGAAATGTCTCAACATGTATTGCTGTGAAATTTGTTCAACATTCACGTTCCTGTAATGTAAGGACATTCGTTCCTGTAATCACACACCAAATATCTTCAAAACTAATGACATAAAATCAAAGTACTTCACATAATATATGCATGTATCAAAATTTAAAAGAAAGCCGATTAAGAGAGTAAAAACAACAAAAACAAAACTTTTAAAGGCAGTTGAGAATAATTTGGATTTTAAGTCTACCTCTAAAGGTGGCCAGAGTCAGACACCTTAGTTCAAGCTTCAATTAATAGCCCAGGCTTTTTTATTTGCTTAAATCACTGAACTCACCCTCCCTGAATTTGGGACAGGTGTCTATATGGGACAAATCTTTAATTCCTTTGCCATTCCAGTAAATCTGAATGAACATAAATACTTTCGTGCTTATCGTTTTCGTAAAGTGGGTTTGGGTCTAGGCATTTAATTGAAGTTTTATGAGATGTTGTTCAGGGAGCCGCACTTCTTTGACTGGGCGATGGCAGAGAAGGTCAGTTCATATGAAGTAGGGCAATCCACAAACAATGATGCAAATGCTTGTTTGTCAAGGAGGCATGAGCATTCCTTTTTGTGCCGTTCATGTTAAGAGAAGCTGGATTAACAGGCGACAGAATGCAAAGGAGGGCTTTTGTCATCAATAATATATGTTTGTGATTTGCTCTGCTGGTTTGAAGGATTTATTGTAGCAAAAATGTCAGGTTTTAAATTGTCAATTTAAACCATAGACTGTATATAAGAAATGGACGTAGTCATTGTGATGTCACTCGTCGGTTTGTGGACTGCCGTTTTGAAGTCTCGAGTTTGGCCAATAGGGCGTCGCCATGTCGAGTTTTTGCAACCAGGAAGTGCCCGGAAGTGACGATACAGCGGAGCTAACGGCCGTGTGCGGAGCTAGCTAGCTTGCTTATCTAGGTGCAACTGTAACTCACGTCATTTTAACAGGGCTGATAATTTTGTCTAGCGAACAACAGTCTTAAAACTAAATGTCCCCACCAGAGAAAGTGAACAGCCAACTCCTAATAAGCTTTTTCAATGGTGTTGTTTAAATTGACACAGTGCCGAGGGTACGAGTCGGCTCTAGCCTGATTGACAGGTCGCCATGGTAACGACTTGTCAATCATAGATAATCCCGCCCTGAAACATACTCTGCTTTGTGGTATATTTTAAAATAAATGGGATCATAACTTACTAAATGAAAATCATTTTGTATTGAAGAAGACTTGAAACTAGCGACTGAGACCATAAACTCATCAGGAAAGTGTTTACTGGGGTAATTATTCGGCTGAGAAGTAGGGTCATTTTCCCATTATTTCTAATGGAGCCAGACTTCTTTTTGCAACCAAAAGAGTCGCCCCCTGCTGGATTTTCAATAGAATGCAGGTTTCAGGGACTTCCGCATCGGCTTCATATAGACCGGAAGCTTCCCGCTTGATTTAAACTGATCCAGGGCCGGTTTGAATTGATTGGTGGCCCGGAGTTGGGTAGGCCTGCCTTAGATTCTGTGGCACAATTTGATATTGTCCTAGCAAATTAAAGATGTATTTCTTGGTCAACGAGGGCCCTTTGTGGTTGTCTTAAAAGTCACTTTCATCATACAATGTGCAGGAATTTGCCTTAAGGACACTGGTGCAGAGACAGACATACATACAGTACTGACTTTTATTGAGTTTTTCAATATTTGGACAGCAAGGACAGGGGAGTGGAAGAAATGCTGGCCAAAAACACTCTAGTTTTGATGTAATTTGTGAGTAAACAGGCCAGCCAGGTCAACCAGGCCTCCTGTGTTTTGTTTCCTGTGTTCTCTAACTGTACATATACACTCTCTCCGTCATCCATCAAGCGTAGGACAGGAGTTTATTACCTTACTGACCAGTTCAGTGCATTAGGCACCGACTCGCTGACGGAAGTCAATAAGTGCTTTGTTTGTTTAATTCTCGCTCCTGTCTATCCATGTATCTCCCAGTCACTCCCCTCTCCTCTCACCTCCCCTCAACATGCACACTGTTAACATTCGCCTCATCTGTCATCTGGTCTATCTCTCACTCACTTCGTCAACCTCCTCCCTTCCATGGATGAAGGTGTATTTGAGTTTATGTGTGTGATAGCAGTAGAAGCAGCAGCAGTACTGGTGGATGGGTGTGACCCTGCATGGTTTCATTTCTCCCACGCTCACCTTTGAACTCCATCTAGCTCAAATATTCTTTCCTGCTCTCTTTCATTCCTTCAGGCAGACTGTCAATAACAGCTCTTCTGTAGCTGTTTATTTCCACAGTGGCCATGGCTTTCTCTCCCCACATCCTCTTGCTCTACCTGTAGCTCTGTGCTGCAATTTTTGTCCTCATTTTACCTCTGATGTTTCCTTTCCGTTGATGTGTTATAATGTCTTACCTGTCGAACTCTTCTCTATCTCCGTCTCTTAGATCATCGCGCCCGGCGGAAGAGCATAGCCACAGGAAAGCAGCCGAGCATGGAGGTCCCTCCCACTGCCCCCCTTCAACCCTTCCGACAATCCGTGAGTAACCCCCCTTGTTCCCGGCCTCGCTCGCTGCCTCCGTCCCTCTCGCTGTCCCTCCTCCCTCCTCCCGCCCTGGGTCCGCCACACACCTGTGGCCGCCGGGCCAGCGGCACCCCGCCTCACCCTTTCCCCCTCTCTCTAGCTGTCTCTCCCTCCCTCGCCTTGTGCCAGCAGCAGAAACAGCTAAAGGGCTCCAAGAAAGGGCCCGGCACGCCTCCTTTGCCCCGCTCGCTGCCCCTCTCCCCCTCCCTGTCCTTCACTCTGCCTCACTCGCCTGCTGCCTCCTCCTCCCCCCCCTTCTTGTACTGGGGCGGAGACTGGAGGGCTGCCAGTTCAAGTCCAGTGGCTGGAGGAACGTTTATTGCACCACTGCCCCCTGTTGAGGTATGTGACAGAAACATGGCAGAAGCAGAGACACTGGTTACGTTTATAGTATGTTTAAAACTTTAGATAACTGGGTCTTGGTCAGAAAGGGGTTAAGGCACTACAGTATTTAACATAGAATGATGAAATCATCCCACTCATTTCAGTCGTGGTTTCTAAATTCACAGAATCCCTGGAAAATTGCATCTTAAAGGGCCATACCAGTGTGTTTTAGCACCTTTAATACAAACACACTTATTTTCTAATGCATGCTATACATAATTGTGTCTACCGTTCCAGGCAGACATTGTTCTTCATTTTTTTTCCAGTGGTATGAAAATCAATTTGCAGACTCTTGAAACGTACTTGAGTTGTGTAATCTACATTAATGTTTGTCAAACTTACTTCATCATTGTGTGGTAATGCAGTTTAAGTGCAGGTTGATTTTAAAATGCTGCACTGCATTTTGTTGATGTGTTTGTTTGCGGAATTAAAACACCATTATCAAGGACATAAAATAATAGAACTTCATGAATATGCACATGTGTACAGGTATACACAAAAAACTCTCATATTCAATTGAGTGTAAACAGAGAAGACGAAAAAAGGAAAGGAAATTTAATGAAACCCCAAAATGAATAATCTTGTCCTTTATATTTTATTGTTGTGCTAAAATCCCACTTTTTAAAATTTGCTATTTAAAATTTGGCAAGTGAAAAGGGCATTACAGAAGTCGAGAAAATGAAAATGCAGGAGAAAATTAAGGCATGAATGATGTGATTTAAGTCAGAAGTCTATAGTAATGGTCAGATTTTTGCAGTGTTTCTCAGAGGAAAACATGATTGAACCGGTTTGTTGACATGGTTTTCAAGTTTCAATTGAGGGTCAAATATAACGTCGAGAGAAGCTCAGTTTTATCAGAATTAATATTGTGCTGTTTTTATTGTAAAGCACTATGTAATTGTGTTTTGAAAAGTGGTATATAAATAATGTGTATTATTATTATTATGTAATGTAAGAAAGAAACAAAAGTAAACGGATACTTGGTGTAAACTGTCATAATATACACAACTCAGTCAAATTTCAAATGTGCCCAGACTTTAATCTGATTATTATTAAACTTATACTTATACTTACTTAAAATTAAACAAAGAAAATGTTACTTGTAGAAAATGAAAACATGCAAAAGACCTGGTATGATTCTTTAATGTGACCAAAACAGAAGCAATATAAAAGAAATGTGCTGTCACTGGAGTGACAAAACATGTCTCTTTTTTATACTAGAGACAACTTCTGTCAAAGAGGGAGAGAAGAGCTGGCAGCAAAACACGTTCTGTCTGTAGACAGAAATAATCTGTTTATTGTTTTATTCATGGCAACAGAAACTCAATCACAAGGAATCAAATGTGCACATAAAAGGGCTTAAAGGATAGTTTGGTGTCTTATTAAGTTTGTGACAGTGGTCTATGTTGCCCATCTCCCTTCCATTATTTCTGCTGGTGTTTGCACATTGTCCTTGTAGCTGGAAATAGCAAGACTTTGTTTTCCTCCCTTCACAGGAAACTTATTTGCTGTCCATTCACTTCTGCGGGATGAAAAACAGCTTCCACACACTCGGAAATGACAAAATCCACATATTCCATTAAAGTAAATGTGAAGAATTAGGCTTGGTCAAAGTTTTTGTGTTTCATCATTATTTCATGGTGACTTAGATGAGTGTTTTAATATCAATATTTCATGTTCTCTGATCTCGGATGAGCAAGCCTGAAGGCCAGGAGTGTCACAGTGGATGCAGACAAAACATCCAAAGATATTCAGTTTACTCTCATGTATTATAAAGGAAAGCATCAAATCCTCATGTTTAAGAAGCTGGAATTACAAAATGTTTGACATCGTTGCTTAAAAAAATGACTAAAACGATTATTCGATTCGATTCGATCACAGTAGTTGCTGATAAATTTTCTGTCAATAAAGAACCTATAGTAGGGTAGAGGTATAAATATTCAGGTGAAGTACAAGTATCCGAACAAATGTATTTTCTTACATCCCACCACTGGTGTTGATCACACCGGAGAGAGCCCAGACAGCAGTTCATTTCATACCACTTTTGTCAATTAGTGTCCTAAAAATGAATATCTAATTACATACAGCTACTAAATGTGGAAAGTAACAGAAGGGCTGAAACACTAAGTGACATCAGTGTTCTCCTTTAACCTAAAATGGACCAGCTGAAGATGAAGTTGATGCCCCCGCCCCGTCACGATTATCCCACTTTATTGTGGTTTATTGTGATTCAGGCTTTTCACTCTCTCTCAGAGTTAAAGTGTGAGACGGAGCAGCTAATCAAATCAGATTTAGTCATGCAGGCTATTAGCTGAGAACCAGCAGATGGAGCCAAGTCTTTAGTCACATCCTCAAGACAGGCTTCAAAGCCATTTGACTCATGCAAGATGACAAGGTGTCATTTCCTTTCAGTCATTCTACCATTAAAAAATGTTGTAATGCTATAGGTATATAAACGGTATTACTGTGAGTCTTCTGGACACACCTAAATGTTGAATGGGTGAAGCTTCTTGAAGGCACAGTGGCACATAAGAAAGAGCTCTGAAGTTACCTTCACAGCTAGCATTACAAAGTTCAGAGAATATTTCTTTTAACAAGTGAAATTATCCTACCTTGTGCAGTTTTTCTCACTTGCTGTCAAATATTTTTAATTGTATGAAAATTGCTTTTCTTTGTATATGTAAAACAAATGTTTTGTTTCACTTGGTCCCCCTTTGAATGCATCAGTCTGCCCTACAGTGTTGCAAGAACTGGTCCCGGTTCAAGTCATGGTTAAAATCTGTCCAGTCAGGGTTGTTGTAGATCAGGATGGTCCTGCAAAGAAAGGTTCTGTCCCAAATACCCACACTTGCGGTCCTGAGCAGATAAGTGCGTGTTCATACATCTGTAGTTAGTAGACAAGTGTGTCCCAAGTCAGAAAAGTACCATGTGCATTTTTTCCAATGCTGCCTTGAAGCAGTAATCATAGCTAAGTGTAGTATCACACAATTCACCATCGTCCACTGTTCCACACCAGTTGTTGGCAGTAGTGCACCTATAGGCTGGTTTTAGGACCGACAATAATCAGCAGACATGAAGTCAATGACATGTTGTATTCAGAGCGAATAATATTTATGTCCAAACACTACAAAGTCATGGAACATCTGCATAATAACAATCTGTTCTTCTTGACGGCACTACTAATAGTAATCTCACATATTGACATGGTCAATATACGTATTAAATATCACATCTTTTCTCAAGGTTTTTGAGAAACATGGTGCATCCTTAAAAGTTCTATCAGACAAAGACCAACAAAATAACATGTTATATTATTTATCTGTACAGTAGACCTATGGCCTTCTAGATTTTTGCAATCAAAGAAAGCGATGTAAAGATTTGACAAACAGAGCTCAAAGAAATGCGGCCTATATTATTGAACTTATTGATATAATAGCACAAGCTATAATAACATTAAATCTAAAATTATTAAAACCAATAAGCATCTGTGTACATACAGTTGCATGTTATATTGGGGATTGGGTGGCTCGTGGCATCATGAAAAACACTTTCCTTGGAAGAGGTGCCGTGGTCTGAAAAAGTTTGGGAGCCACTGTTCTAGATGTCTCAATTTAGTTTATTAATTTTAGTCAGCTCCTGAATGTGTAATCCTACGTATTTGTTCCAACAAGTCACCTGAGCTGGATTGTTCCATGTGCAGTATTTGTATTTGTGTGAGTCGTCAACATGTTTGCGACCAAATATATCACACAAGTAGGAACCTGACTACTCTTCTACCCTTATCATTGAACAATTTCCTGTTTCAGTTCTCAGATTTTGTTATTTGACCTTGTAAGGAAGCTCATGTAGGACCTGCACCCCTGTGTGAGGCTTGTACTCTGAGCTTGTTGTTGGACTGTATGGCACACCACTGCCCACCACAGGATCTGTTACAACACTGCAGTTCTCTGTGGCGAGTGGACATGTATGGGCGTTTGATTTCTTGTTGATAATAAATTTACCTTGTGCTCTCCCCCATCACGCATCATGTGTTTCATTTGTGTGCGTCGCCATCTGATTTTGGTGTTACTTAAATACACAAACCACACTGACTCCATGGGAATCATCTATCTTTATTTCACACTTCGCACTTCACAACTCCTAAACCATATCAAACTCTTGTATCCTCTCTTCACCACTCAACCCATCTTTTCCAACTCACGTCAACCACTTCTTCATCTCTGTAACTTCCCCTCCTCCATCTGTTTGCCCCCGTTGTTGCTCTCCTCCTCCACCGTATCCAGAGTTTCCTCAGTAGAAGGTTGAAGGGCTCGATCAAGAGGGCTAAGAGTCAGCCCAAACTGGACCGAACCAGCAGTTTCCGCCACATGATCCTCCCCCGCTTCCGCAGTGCCGACCAAGACAGGTCAGTGAGTGTGTGAAAGTGATTTCAAGCATTCATATATGTAATATTATCCTGCGTCTGGCTGTGTTAGTGTGCGATCTCTGTAGTTACATTAATGTGTGAAATTGTGTGTATTTCTCACAGTGTAAATGTTATGGCATCACAAAGTATTTACTTTTCCATCTACTAAGACAATCTGAAGCATATATCTCATATAAACAGAATGTACTGTAGATAGTGGTGGAAGAAGTACTCAAGATATTTTATTTAAGTAAAACAGGTATGTATAAATACTCCATTACAAGTAAAAGTCCTGCATTCTAATATCCTACTTAGAAGAAGGGCATTTTAAGTATTACTAGCAAAATGTACTTAAGAATCAAAAGTAATAGTGCTCTTTCTGCAGCATAATGTCAGTGACTGATATATTATTGTAAATGACCTACTGATGTATCGGTGTGTAAGCAGCATTATACTGTTGTAGCTGTTCAAGTTGGAGCAAGTTTAAACTACTTTATGGACAGTCATTAGTTTAGTTCAGTGGTCGGGTCCCTCCTAAGGATCACAATATAATTATGAGGGGTCATGACATAATGAGAGAGGAAAGAAAGATAAAACAAATTTATATATATGACTTTGTTTAATCTTTGCTTTTGTCTTTAGAGATAATTAGGCCTCTTTAGGACTCAAACAGTTATTTAAATTAAACCATGTGAGAAGCTTAGAGAGGAAATCTCTGTTACTACATCGGCTATGAACATCTGAATAAGAAGCCCCAGCTCTGCTTTATTTGTGAGAGTCCACAAGCCAAAATGTGTGGGGAACCACTGGATTCATTGTTGACAATGTGTTGAGTTCAAGTAACTTATCACATGTGTTTTAATGTAAAATCTTAATGTATAAAGTAACAATAACTACTCCTGTCAAATAATATAGTGGAAAGTACAATAGTCCCCTTTGAAATATAGTGGGGTGGAAGTAGAAAGTAAAATTACATAGAAATACTTAAGGAAAGCACAAGTGCCGTACCGGTAAACTTAATTACTTTCCACCACTATTGTTGGGATGAGGCAGCGGTCATTCAAAACGAGAGGGAAGCTGCTCAGAGAGGCGTTGTGATATTATTGCATTAGGACCAAAGATACAGTGTATGAGATACAGCCTGTGGTTAGAGATAGAAGTGTGTTTGCTGGTACATTAAAATGTGCTGTTTTCCAGGAAGTTTGAATGTTACATTTGATCTAAAATGCATGAATATCGCATTTTATTATATCATCAAGCCCTTTGATAGACTGGCAACCTGCCTCTCCCCTGCGGTGCATGATGGGATAAGGCTGGCCTATCTATCTATCTATCATTGTTATAAATTGTTGTTTATTTTACACTCTCATATCCCACTGCAGTGTCACTTACAATTAAAACACCATCGCTGTTTCTTTGCTGGGGCAAACATCGCCCCCCTCTCCATGGCAACCAACAGACAGCCATATGGCGGCTGTACAGACCATAATGAGTCAGTGGGAGATTTGCTTAATTATACCTCCTCTGTATTGAGTTTATAGTTGTAGCAGCACTGGCATTCTTCAGGCACAGCAGCATAAGAGGTAGTGGCTAATTTTGGTTTGACAGAAGTTTGTACAGGATAGTTTTTATTTTGAAGAAGAAAAAGAAAAAAAAGGACACTGTTAGGTTTTGTGGTTGGCGGACCCAAGAGCGGACCCAGAATTTAAGAGCCAGAGTAAAAGTTGACAGACTTTATTTACAAAACTTGCTGAGGTGGTTAAGGCTGGTGAGAGAGGGGCAGGCAAGTGAGCAATGGCGGGGTCCAATTCCAATCAGCAGCAGGTACTGGATGAGATATAGAAGGTGGAAGCCAAGGAATCCTGAGGCACAGGAGAAAAACAACAGTTATTATTCAAGAGAAAAGAAAAGGCCTCAGGTACCAGGAAGGGTTTGGATAATCTTGCAGTGAGTCCTAGGAACACTGGAGTAATTTAGCTATGAGTTGATGAATTGATTGAAGACCGGTGTGTAGCTCTGCCAGGTGCCCAGCGTGAAGTCACGCCCGCAACACACAGACAAACAAAAAGAGAAGGCAAACAAAGGAGAGAAGAGAAAACAGAACCAGACACAGCAGTGACAAATCTAATGTATGAAATTTGAAGTTTCCAGTTTTCGAATAGTTGTCTGGCTGTTTAACAATTATTAACTAAATTGTAAGTGTGACATCAACCTTGCGTGCTATTTCTAATTTTTATGAACTACATACATTATACATTTAGTCATTTAGCTGACGCTTTTATCCAAAGGTAGAGGTAGCACGCCTCTGAAGCAACTAGGGGTAAAGTGTTTTGCTCGGGGACACATTGGTGTGTCACAGTGGGAAGCGAACCCGGGTCTTATCCACTGCCCCACCACCAACCACTAAACTTTTCCTGTGAGTTTTAGCCTCTTTTGCACAAAAACAGTAGCAGCTGCAGTGAAGACAAACTCTGACAAACTTCAGATGTGAACAAGGTCATCTTGATCATGTAAACACAGAGCAGAAGTGCACTCAGGAGAGCGCTAAAACCTCTCCTGAGCCAGGTGTCTGCCAAGGTGCGTTTCCACATGACTTATTCATTTGGGAAGGTTGTGGATGTCTATTATCCCCGGCTGGCCTGATGAGACACAGAACAGACGAAAAAGTCAGGAGCCTTATGAAGTCGAGGTTGTTTGCAATTTTCACAACTCCTCATTTACTCTGGATGTTTCCTGTCAGGGATGTCGGCAAACATCTGCAACTTTGTTCATTATTATTCTGTTTTTTATCTTTATTTATCCCGGGAGGGTTTGCTAAACAAACATACCCTTTTTCAGCACAGACTGATATTCACACAATCATAAATGTGCCTCTGAGCTCCCAAACAGACTCTTAAACAGTGATATGTATTTTTGTACGTTTTTTCAATAATTATTATTATATAACTGATTGTTCATACAACTTCCCAATGGGTCTCAGAGTTTTCTTCCGTGTATACTGTTAGGTCACGCTGTCATATAGCTCCTAACTCGTACATAAATGTATATTGTATAATGTTTTTCAGCAGAGTTTCAGTGATGACCTAAAAGCAATTCAGAGCATTTTCTATCCCAAAAAGTATACTTTTCTGTATATTTTAATTATTATTGATTAATCCGCTGAGTACTTTTTCAATTAATAGATTAATTGTTTTGCCAGTAAAATGTCACAGTATAGTGAAAAAGACCTGTTATAATTTCCCACAGCCAGAGATGATGTCTTCAAAGTCCTTGTTTGGTCCTAAACCTAAAGATATTCAATTTGCAGAATTTGCAAATGTTTGGTATTTCTCCTTGATAAATGACTGAAATGATGATCAATTATCTGATTTTTGTTGATTCATTTTCTATCAGAAATATTTGGATTCTTTAAAGCCATCTTCTGTTAGCCTCGGTGTGTGTGAAGGACCTCAGTCATCCATAGTCAAGGGCAACTGGACTTGGTTCAACCAAGTCCAGTTGCCCTTGACCTCAACCTCCGTTGGATTCAGTTAGCCTCACATTATTGTAATATTAGTTAAACCTTACAAGAGCTGCAACTAACGTTTCTTGTAGTTATCAGCTCATCTGTTGATAGTTTTTAGATAACTGATTCATCATTTAGTCCACCAAATGTAAAGAAAATTTTAAAGTGTCTATCGCAAGTTCTAAAGGTCCAAGTGGACAACCCAGAAATCAAAAATATTAAATTTATTTAACATAAAACAGACAAGATCAGAACCAGCAAATGTTTTACCTTTTTGCTTGATTAAATGGCTTTAAAATTGTTACAGATTAATTTTCTGTTGATGGGTTAATAGAGTCATCAGTTTAGCTCTACTTACATAGCTGCTTAGTTAAGTTAAATTTCTTTGTGCTGTGTTGGTTGTCAGACCTGTTCTGCTTTACTTCACTGCAGCGATGCAAAGAACATGTTTACCTTATCATAAAATTTGTTTTGTATCTGCTGATTTCCTTCTTGTTTCTAGTCTGTTATCACTGGTGCTTTGGTTGTTTTCGCAGATGTGTGGTTCATCAGTTGTGACGTGTAAAATATAATTAGCAAGGTGTGTGTGTGTGTGTGTGTGTGTGTGTGTGTGTGTGTGTTGTCTTTTCACGTTTGACTCTCCCTGCACTTCAACTCCCCACTGAGACCTTGCATAGACCTTCCCAGCACTCTTCTCAATCCCTTTATCCACCCCGACCCTCACACATCCTCCTGCTCTCACTTTCTTCCTCTCCAAAGGATCTGATGTTTACATAATCAACGTGATATTCTTTGAGCGGTCTTAGCTCTCTACCCTCACTCCTTTCTCTCTCAATCTCTCCTTCTCTCACATACTTTCATGACCTCCCCCACTCTTTCTCTCTTCTTCTCTGTGTTCCCCTCAATCTGACTCATTCCTTTGGGTCTATTTTTATCTCTCTCTCTCTCTCCCTCTCTCTCTCTCTCTCTCTGAGTTTCTCCTCCCCCACGGTCCCCTACATGCAATCAGTGCTCTGTTGATGAACATTATGATTGAACATAGACAAAAGCAGTGCAAGCGCAGGGGAAAAGCTGAGAGTCGGACGCAGCACGGAGGATATACAGTATCTTTTCTATCTTTCCTTTTTCCTTATTTCCATCGCCCCTTTTCTTCTCTGAGGGTCTTCATCACACCTAACCGTCCCTCCTCGTTCTGTGGTTAGACTCACTGTGTCATGATACATCTGTCTTAGTGACCATGTGACTGTCTCCTCAGCTAGTCTGTGATTTTACATGTGCATGCATGTGTGTGTGGGAGTAAGTGTGTAGGAGAGCATGGCAAATTCGTGTTCACTTGTGAGCATGATGCCCTTTGCATTTCACTGTAAAGATTAATGATATTATTAAGGATTATCTTAGAACATTGTGTGGGGAGTTTAAAATGTTTTGCTTGGAGGGAAAAGATGGATATATCTGTAAAGACAGTAAATAGACAAAACTGTAATGCATTGTGATGAAATATGCTTTTGATTGTGTAGTTGCTGACATGATACACGTCAACTCAAAAAAGGTTATAATGAGCATTTCAGAGTAAGTGCACAGGATCAGTCTGTCCCTTCAATCTACTAGATTATCTTAAAAATTCAAATAATGAACATTGTGGCATTAGAAGCTTGATCAGTCTGTCCGCTTTACAGCCGTCTGTTAAATAATTTAGAATGGATGGTTTTAAAATGTTCATTATTTTTAACGTCTATTCTTTCTCTAGTCAGATATATTCAGGGAACATCTTTGCAGAACCAACTGGAAACTAATATATTTGTCACTATTTGGCTAAAATGAAACATAAAAATGTGATTTGATAGAAATCTGTTGTACTAGGAGGTTTTGCCTTCTTATTCATGCATTTCCATGTACATTTCATAACATAGAAAGGCTACTGGAGATGTGTTAATAGTCCCTGTATTGCCGTAGTTCAACATATGGTGCAACGCTTACATTATTGTTTTTTAGTACACAAAGATAAATGTTAATGATGACAAAGACAAAAGATAATTTTCTTCCATTTACAAGCAGAAGCGTCCTGTAGTTTTTTTTACACAGAACTGAAGCATAATCCCACTTTCAACAAAAGAGTCACTCCTTTCTCCCCTCTTCACATCTAACCACAACTATCACTCCTCCCAGGACCCGTTTGATGCAGAGCTTCAAAGAGTCCCACTCCCATGAGTCCTTGCTGTCTCCCAGCAGTGCTGCCGAGGCACTGGACCTCACTCTGGATGAGGACGCCATCATCAAACCTGTCCACTCGAGCATCCTGGGACAAGAGTACTGCTTTGAGGTGAGTACTGAGCTGCATGGTGTGGACAAACAACAGCACACTCATGCACAAAGTGCAGTGTACAGAGCATTAAATTGCACCAAACATGTTGTTCCATCCTGACAAGTGACAGTGATGTGAAAGAGACTGATGTGAATTGAAAACATTTTTTTACATTTGAAAAAATGAAAGAATCAAGGACACTGAAATGAGCCCTAGTCCCTACATAACTTGCTGCAGGAGTCTGTCAGCTTTTTCCATTACCTTTCCATTTGTGGAACATGACAGGTTGAGAGTGAATGCAAGAGATTGTTTTGGCGCCTTAGTTACAGTCTCCATAGTTACTAATGGCTGTGGTTGTTGAATTTACCATTGGCTATAACCTCAGGTGACTACGGCATCAGGAACCAAGTGCTTTGCGTGTCGCTCAGCTGCAGAGAGAGACAAATGGATCGAGAACCTGCAGAGAGCTGTCAAGCCCAACAAGGTGAGGGGAGAGAAAGGGATGCGGTAGAGGAAGAAAAAAGGATGATCCCTCTGTCTGTGTGTCTCTCTCTCTCCTCCCCGTCTCCCGTTGTTGTCTGTTTTCAAAAAGAGCGCACCGCTTCATTTCTCTGTGTGAACTCCATCCTTGTGTCTGTGTGTGTCTGTGTTGAACAATTTAGTCGCTTCTCCAAGCAAATATTAAAGCTGCATGAGGTAATGTTGCAGGGAGGATCCAAACTGCTGGTAGCCGCAAATAGCCACAAATCAGGTAATGTGGTGATGATGTGATAATGTGATCAGTAAATTACACACAGCAGGCTTGTATTTACCAGCCCTACATGTCTGTGATACATGACACTAAAGGATACTGAAGAGACAAAAGATCCACTATTGGCCAAGTTCTTCTTCTTCATTCTCACTGTGGGCCTCATGCAAGAACCACCTGTACAAACAGATTTACTATGTATGAGTACTTGAAAAGATTGGTAGCATTCACCAATTTTCTCATACTTAGAATTTTCTGTTGGGTAGCAAGTTCACAAGAGACGTGTCGGTTGTCTGTGCATGCCTCATACCACTCATTTGACCTGAAATCATATTACCATAAGAATTTGGATTTTAAATATAATACAGAAATGAAATAAAATAAAATATATATCTAAGGAAAAAAACATATAATTTAATTAATATTTTGTTCATCATAAGTGTAGCTTGCCAATTTACTGAGGGGTTTTCAAGATTTCGTATTTTGGCACAGCAATATACAGTTCAGTAGGTAAATTCTCTCTCCCCAACAGCTGCCTCAGGGTCTATAAGCAGCTTGCTGCCCAGTAAGGTCCTCTGTTGCACTTGTCAGTGCAACATCACCTGCTGTAGGCTATGGTATTGTCCCATCCAAAATCTCCGTGACTGTCCTTTTTGACTGCCTCTCGTATTAGTCGTGGACATAAGATGTTGTTTAGCATCAAAGCTAATGTAAAATCATTCCCTCTTTATTCAGAGTGCATGGCTGCACACGTTGTTGGCAACTGTACTGTTAATATTTTTTTCAGGGCCTCTAGTATGACTACGGACTCTGAAACCTTTCTGTCCGCTTATTTTTCCGACCGCAGGACTCGTAGCATGAAATTATTCTCCTTACTCTTGGTAACATTTTTGTGAATGAAACTTTCTCAAAAATGGAGCAGAGATTTTTTGAACTGCTGATTATGCTAATGATTAAGTTCCCACGAAGATGCACCGCCTAATGAACAGCTGGCACGCATCAGGCTGCAGTGAGCGATTTACGACAAGTTTGGTGAATGTGATTTAAAATAATCAAGCCCTAGTGGGGGAAATAGCGGTTTATTATGAGAATAGGAATGAGCCCCATGTCATTGTGTCCATATGTGACCAGGTTATAATTAATTAGTGCAGATGAAATCCTCTTCTTTTTTTGCACCTGTAGTGTATGATTTAAGCAGATATGATTGTGTATTTTCCAAAGTCTTCCTAGTGCAGCTTTAAGGTACTATGATTTTATTTCCATCCTCACAGCTTAAAAAAACAAATCTCAACCCTTCATGTCGGCCCAGAGTAAAACCAATATCCTAATTTTCACCCAGATTTCATAGTCCTGTAAAATTGTCCCATATCTCCCCTCTGTTATTAAAAAAGTGAACAGGCATGTAAGATATTCAGCTTTGATGGCAACCAGGGACTAGGAATTATTAAGCCAGACTGAGATGAAACACAGCCCGAGTTGAATGCCTCGTCCAGATGCTCAGGCCACAGGGGTCCTGGCTGAGTCATGGAGCTCCAAGGACTCCATGCAGGGGCTCCCTCTAAAATCGTCCCCCTCCTACCCCTAAACAACACGCATCATGCATCTCAGACCAGATGCATCGACAGAGATAAGGCTCACTGCAGAGACAAGGATTATCATTATGCTTCTTCACTTTCTGGAGCCTTTTAATTCCCACTTTGAGCTTTGATTGTTTATTCTATTCAAAAGGAGAGCAGCCACTTCACCCTGCTTTAGTGTTTTATTCGTTTTTTGGTAGTAAAATCGAAATATGACAGAAACTAGGGAAGATGTAACGTGATATCAAGACAGAGGACTCGAGCTCATGCTGGTGCTGCTGCACTGTATGTGCACTAGCAAACTGAGCCACCAGATGCCCAGCACATTCAAACTCAGAGGTTTGGAATTAATTATGCCTTGTGTTGGGTGCTGGTTATCAAAGAGCATACAAATGGAAAACTTAAGAACTGTGGATCTGGCTGATGCTCACATATTGAGCTGTCTAAATCAGGTATTAGATAGTCTGCAGCAAACAGGGGGCTAACAACAATGGCATTTGAGCCCAATTGAAATGACTCAGCGCCCGTTCACTGAAACATCACTCCGCAATCAACACGGCACTCTCTCCTCCCATGGGGGATGTCAAATATAGCTTGGGCTTTGTGATCATGATTAAGAAGTGTAGCTGTCGACAGAAACATCACCACCATTGTTTGTCCCTCATCTTTGCAGCACATGTGCATTGTGTGATTTTTGTCTCTCTGCATTTAAGTGGATTACTTTTTGCATCCAGTAAGACCACTCGTACTCTTATCATTCACATTTTCTGTTATCTTCCTTTTCTGTGTCTCAGTCATGCTGTTTTCTTTATCTGTATTCACATCAAAAGTTGAGAGCAATTTATCAAGTAATCCACAGCAGCTCGACCGCCAGGTCACCAGCCATTTCTTTTCTGTCATTTTCTCTGTTCTCTTGCAGCCTGACCTGCTGTCTCCCTTTATTCACACACACTGTCTCTGTTTCCATCTCTAAAGTTTTTTTCCTTGCTGATTGTCATGTTTTCCCCTGCATTGCATCATCTTCTTTTGTAAAGTATTTTAATGACTCTATTATTAGATGCACTTGACCTTATTTGACTTGACTTCATCTCCATGCAGGACAACAGCCGGAGGGTGGACAATGTGCTCAAGCTGTGGATCATAGAGGCACGCGAGCTTCCAGCCAAGAAACGCTACTACTGCGAACTTTGTCTGGACGACATGCTGTACGCACGCACCACCAGCAAGCCGCGCACCGACACCGTTTTCTGGGGCGAGCACTTTGAATTCAACAACCTGCCAGCCGTCCGCAATCTACGCCTTCATCTATACAAAGAGACAGACAAGAAGAGACGCAAGGTGACAAAGATTATTTTATAGTTTCAGCTCATTATTTAGCTGTCCAAACTGCAAGTTTGCTTTTTTGGTTCACTCACTCTCATAGAGTTGTTATTGGCCGCAGGCGAACAAGCTCAAAAACCCACTGTAACCGACCTGCTAAGCACCAAACAGCAGACAGACACAATTAGCAACAAGCTGGTGAACATAGTGGAACATTTAGCAGCTATAGAGCCAGATAATTCCTTGAGGAGTTGGTAGAGACCAAAAACAAAGCTAAAAGGAGAGTGAATATCGGACTTGCAATCACCAGCTGGCCAGAAACACGACTCATTGAGTGATAATGTGGCCCCATAACTTCTGGATGTGTAAATAAGAAAGTGTTTGTCAAGAAGTTCATTAACTTATAAGGCGATGATATGTTGTTCACAACTTGTTTCTGCTGCTGCTGCCATAGAAGTGCCAGAAATCTGTTATTGCAGGGGGAATATGGGAATCGAATTTCTTAATCACACCTGAAAATGTATTTTAAAGTAGATGTAGAAAATCTCCACCAACATTTTACAACGGAAATGAGCAATTTGGATTATTAGAGGATTAGTTCAGCAAAAATAAATAGATGAGGAAATAATGTACTGTGAGGATGACTGCATTGTCATTCAGTGGCTTGATAATAAAATAGCCAATATCAAATTGGGTTGGTTGTACTGCATTTGTCTTTGTCATTTGCTTGATTGGCTTTATAACAACATGGTTATGGTTCTGCAACGGGCATAGTTTGGGTTGTAGGGAAATGGGAGTGTCTTCGAACTGCAGTGAGAGCACGCCTGAAGGAAAGACAAGCCAGAAACATCATGATTGATGAAGTTATCATTGAGTCATTGCCATGGATCAAAAACCCTATCAGCCCCCTGCAGATGCACAACATAGTGGCAATTTTGTGTTATTTGGCTGTGAAAAAAAAATTCATTATTTATTCAGTACTAAAGTTTTTAATGAACTTTTTTTTTCAGACTTTCAGAAATTGAAAGAAATGTTCTATGACACATGCTCATGTTGACAAATATCTACTTTTTTCTCTCTAAGGAAAAGAGCACATACTTAGGACTTGTAAGCATCCCCATCTCAAGCATAACTGGACGTCAGTTTGTGGAGCAGTGGTACCCGGTCATCCAGCCCAGCGTCCTCACCAAGGGAGCTGGTGTGGGAGGGGGGAAGATCATCAACGCATCCCTACGCCTCAAATCACGCTTTCAGACCATGAACATCCTGCCCATGGAGCTGTACAAGGAGTTTGCAGAGTACGTCACCAATAACTACCGCACCATGTGTGCTGTGCTGGAGCCTGTGCTGAGTGTCAAGAGCAAAGAGGAAGTGGCCTGTGCATTGGTGCATATACTGCAAAGCACAGGGAAAGCTAAGGTAGGGACGCCTCTATTTGACATATCGGGATTTGAAACTATGTGAAACAGATTTAAAACAAAGGCTTTTCAGTTATTGTGACCATAAAATCTCATCATTTTTTATTTCTGCTGTAAACATTGTATGTAATAAAGAGTAATAATTAAGTTGTTTTGTTCTCCAGGACTTCCTGTCAGACATGGCGATGTGCGAGGTAGACAGATTCATCGACCGAGAACACCTTATCTTCAGAGAGAACACTCTGGCCACCAAAGCCATAGAAGAGTACCTCAAACTGATCGGACATAAGTACCTCAAGGACGCTATAGGTGAGCAAGAATAGTTGCGGAAAACTTGATGTTTGAGTTTGTCACTGTATAAACTGAAGCAACTGCAATATTCACACCAATGTGAAAGTAATTTCAAATTCAGGAGATGAACTTTTGGAAGTTTTGGAATAACCAAACTTTTAATTAAAAGAAAAATCCTTCCTTAGATACTGTTACCCATTTCTCTCAGCCTGCCTTATTGTTTTTGCTTGAAGAGATAGTTTGGTTTTGTGAGGGAATTTTATTATTTCCTACCATACCCAGAGTTAAACTGGTGTTTTTTTAGATCTCTGCACATAGTTTGATGATGTATTGAATTACATGATTAGCCAAGTTCAGCAAGTGAAAGATGTGTGTGGGATCACGAAGCAGCTACTCTCAAAAGTAGAGACACACAGCTTCCCTAAAGAAAGGGAAGGGAATATAATATATTGTACACATTAGCGTAGCATCATTAATTAATGTTTTCTGTTTTGTGTTTTTGTGTAATGGAGTACATACAAAATCTTAACATTTACCTTGCAGTTTGGATCTAATATGTTGAACGTTAGCATATTCAAACACCATTACTCTGGATACTTGTAAACAGTAACTGGAAAGGAACTTTCATACATATAAAAACTGCTTTACATCAATATCTTAACAAATAAATAAAAAAGTTGCCTTTTTAAAAAATATAATAGATTTTAAATATAATAAATTAAATATAATATACTATATAATATAATTGCTTTATGTGAATATTATAACGGTAGATCGATACGAATACAATTTAAAAGCAAGATTTAAAAGGTGAAACTTGAAATGTTTCTGAATTGCACGGCAGATATTTAAGGTTGTTCCACACTTTTCGGTTCATAGACATAAAAGGGTGCCTGTCCGTACTTCTTTGTCTTAACTGTTGGCACATTTATTGCTTTACTCTTTGATAGCCAGGGAAGTGGCTAAGAGTATAGAGGGAGAGACTAAGTATGGAGGTGTGAAAACATTTAGATCTTTGTAATATAATTTAAAAATCAAGTCTAAAAGAGACACAGGACCAATGCAAAGACTGGTGTAATATTGTCTGTTCACTTATTTTTTGGTAATTCATTTCAAAAAGCTTTGCAATAATCCTGAGGAGAGAAAACCAACACACAAATCAATTTATTTGCATCCGGAAATGTCTTGCAACAGCAAGACATTTCTCTGGTGGAAAAGATTTTGTCCTCAATTAATTTGAAATAGTTTTTACACATTCAGTCTGTAATACATCATCTTCTTCCTTTATTTCTGAGGGTAGCTTTCTATACATGAAATTGATATAAATATTTTCTTAGTTTAAAAGTGGGTGTTTTGGCTTATAAATAAAAGTTAGACTTGATTGCAGGTTTTCCTTCTAGCTACAGTAGCTTGTTGGCTAATTAGCCTGCCACCCAAGTTTCCCAACTTTGTATTGTTTTTCAGTAATTCCTCTTTACCTACACTTCAGCATGTCCTGTGGCAATATTGCATTTGGTCTGTTAAATTTGCAGCTGATGGAAAAATCTCATACTCTCCCATAATGGATTTCTTTTATATTAGTCTATTATTCTATTGGTTTTTGTCGCTGTTGCTGTATGTATTAACAACACTGAACTGATCTTGGTGATAGTTTCTACTATTTTGCCGCACCTAATGAAATGTCATTTCTAGGGGAGTTCATAAGAGCCTTGTATGAATCAGAGGAAAATTGCGAAGTGGACCCCATGAGAACACCACCCTCTGTACTCCCAGACCACCAAGCCAATCTTCGAATGTGCTGTGAACTGGCACTCTGCAAGATCGTTAACTCACATTGGTGAGCACTTAATAAATAAATCATTTCATTTGTATTGAGTGAGTTTATTCCTCTCTGCTACTCCATTTAAAAAAAATCATGAGAAATGACAAACTCCACAGTTTGTTTCTGATCTAGCAGTATATGCCCTTCACAGTGTTTTCCCTCGAGAGCTGAAGGAAGTTTTTGCCTCATGGAGAGTGCGCTGTGCAGAGAGAGGCCGGGAAGACATCGCCGACCGTCTCATCAGTGGTTCCCTCTTCCTGCGCTTCCTGTGTCCTGCCATTATGTCCCCATCGCTCTTCAATCTCACCCAGGAGTATCCCGATGAGCAGACATCACGCACGCTCACCCTCATCGCGAAAGTGGTGCAGAACCTGGCTAACTTTTCCAAGTCAGTTTTATTATTATTATTATTATTATTATCATTATTATCATGTTCCTCTGTGAAGGGAAAAAGAAGGTTGACCATCAATTGCATAAAATACTCAAATTGTCTTACATTAAAAATATGTAATGTCTTCCTCTCGATTGATCTTGGAATACGATACGACCACATTCAAAACTATGTTTAGATCATATTGAGAAATTAGAAAGCCTTCACATTTGGACCATCTGTAACCAGGTATATTGGTGCAAAAAAGTTTTCTCCAGACCCATTTATTATTTTGTAATGACAAGTTTTGCTGTTATATTCTGAACCTATAAAAGTTGCGTGTTAAAGAGGTCATATTATGCTCATTTTCAGGTTCTTAATTTTATTTAGGGGTTGTACCATAATAAGTGTACTTGGTTTCATTTTTAAAAAACACCGTATTTTTGTCATACTGCACATTGCTGCAGCTCCTTTCATAAACGAGCCACTGTGCTATAACTCAAATTTGTCTCCGTTTGGTTTATTCAACGCTGTACCACATAGTTAGTGATGTGTTAAAGGTACCATGTGCCATTTTCATTTTAAACAAGCCCATTTGTGTTTATATTCAGTGACTCACACCTAAATGTCTTGACAAGGTGGCAGTGGACATGAATAAGAAACAGAACCTCAATTTAACACTTATCATATTTCGTGACATTTAATTTCACCATTCACCATGAATTGCTTACTTGTTTTCACTCATATTCCCTTCCTTCTCTTTCTTACCCTCCACCACTGGCTTTCCTTCTTTTCTCACCTGCAGGTTTGGCAATAAAGAGGAGTACATGTGTTTCATGAATGAGTTTTTAGAGATGGAGTGGGGCTCCATGCAGCAGTTCCTGTATGAGATCTCCAACCTGGACAGTGTGAGCAATGCAGGCGGCTTTGAGGGATACATCGACCTAGGCAGGGAGCTGTCCATACTGCACAGTCTCCTCTGGGAGGTCATGGCTCAGCTCAGCAAGGTAAACCCAAACATAACATGTCATATATGCCATTATAAACTACAATTTTACACTGTCATTCTTTCCAAAATAAGACAATAGTAATATTATTTTTTATTTTAGTATTTTATTATTTATGTAAGATAATATAAAACATGTTGTCCCTTTTTATTTAGTTTTTAGATTTGTCATCAATTGCACAGGATGTCTCTTGGGTTTTTAACAAGTTTTCATTTTTCTTATTTGGTAATACTGCTGTATTTTTAATCACTTTGGCATACAGGGATTGGACACCTACATTGTACCCTCTCATGTAACTAAGGTAAAAAATATAAAAATAAAAATAGCTACACATGATGATGTAATGCAGTCCAGTACACAACCACCAGTAATTATGGCTTAAATCAAATGAACCCGCTGTACATCACTTTAGGTGTTATTACTGTGAAGCCAAACTAAACCAAACTCAGAATGCATATGTCATTTCAAGTTGAATTTCAACAATTTAGTCTAAAAAAACTCTCACCTCAAACCTTTTTGCCATATAAGTGATAAATCAGGCTTGAACTGTCATTAACTTACAAGTGCCAGGTGAGTTGAGGTGGATATATGGTATTTTAATGAAACCCTTATGTTAGATAACTCAAAGAATTTTATTTTTAAATCCTCAGCAAAATTAATTTTCTTTTTCCTTTAACCACAGGATGCCATCATCAAACTGGGTCCTTTGCCTCGCCTCTTGAATGACATCAGTATGGCCTTGCGTAACCCACACCTCCAGAGGCAGCCCAGCCATCAGACAGACAGGGTGCAGGACAGACAGGCAGACAGGCTGCTGTCACGGCCGAGCTTCAACAGGGGCATCTCATCCGAGTTCCAAAATCTCATGATGAGGGATCTTAATAGGTAGGCGTTGTGACCATAACAGCTTTTGTCTGACCATCACAACAAAACCCATATTCTGTCTACTATTGCATTGTATTGCGAGAAAACAGTAAATATTCACATTTAAGAAGTTGCTACCATATCATTTTGGTATTTTATCTTAAAAAATTACTCAAAACGATTCATTTGTTGTCAAAATTGTTGCCCATTATTGTAGATCGACTAATGGATTTGTAAATGATAATAATAATAATGATTGTCTGTCTTAAGCTGTGGTTGGCCTTACTCACTGCTGTTCTCCAGCTCTATAGATATCACTCGCTTGCCTTCCCCTACCTCCACTGGAGGGGTCATGCCATCCCGCTCCCAGATGAGTTTTCAGGACCGTGACCACCCTCATCGAGCATCCTCCAAAGACATGTTTTACGTATCACGCCCTCCCCTGGCCCGATCCAGCCCAGCATATTGCACAAGCAGCTCGGACATCACAGAACCAGACCCTAAGGTGAGTTTTATCATACAGACTTGGGGAATCCTCATCCCATCCACTAGGTTTATCTTTATCAAAGTGAGGTTAGTATGACGTGCATGTTAGTCATACTTAATAGAATCTGCCATCGTGTGATCGAGGCTGTAGTATATCATGACATCTGCTTTTTTTCCACTGATTCACCACGCAACTCATCCTAGCGGTATTTCCTGGGAAATACTTTGAGGCATTCCGATATCCTGGCCTCGCGGTAAAAACACCTGCACCACCCTCACCCATACCATCCGTGGCCACCTAGCATACATAATAACGGGGCACACTAGCCTCTCATATCCCTTATTATCTAGGTTCTCAGTGTCAATAAAAGCGTATCTATGATGGACCTCCAGGATTCCCGAATGAACAGCGTGTCTAACCTGCAGTCGGTGGACATGCTCAACTCCTCCCAGGCCTCCATCGCCGGCATGGGCAGCTTCGGAGGGCTGAGCAGCGGAGGCGGTGGCGGCCTGGGGTCGGGCCTGAGCAGCCAGCTGCGGGCCGGTGGGAGGTTGTCAGCTGGCTCTGGCGGCTCCAGCATGTCCGGCGGTCTTCGGCTGAGCCAGCTGAGCCAGATGGGCACCACCACCGACTCGCTATCCCAGCAGCAGCAACAGCAGGCCGCCGCCATGCGCTACCCGCTTTCCTTCCAGAATCCCCTCTTTCATCTGGCGACTGCTGATGGGCCTCAACAGCAACAGCTCCATCACCAGCACAGCCGGGTTCAACCTCCAGCACCCCTGCTCCTGGCGCCAGACCCTGAGCCCTCTCACCAGACCTACATCCCACAGTTCGCCCATGGGGGGTTCTCTCGCAGCGAGGACCTGTCTACCCTCAGGACCAGGGACGGTCACCTGGGCCAACCCAGCATCATCCACTCACACAGCTACAGTGACGACTACAGCAGGGCTGAATATTCACGCAGGCAGATGTCCATGCAAGTGCAGGTACATGAATGTTCTCATGATGTCTTAAAGCCACCAGGTGTAAATTGCCATGACTCTTTTAAAATATTCTGATGGTTTTAGCACTTCAACTAATGACTGTTTTCATTATCATTTTTTTTATTTCATTTAGTGGAAAAAACAATAGAAAACATTGAGAAAGGGCCATCACAAATTCCCATGGGCCCAAATCGACGACTTGTTTGTTTTGTTCAACTAATGGCCTAAAAACTAAAGATGTTTGGTATATTTTTTCTTTATAAATGACTTAAACAATCTAAAAAATCATTTGACAGAAGAACTAAAACCATTAGTCAGTCTAGTAGCTGATCGACAGAAAATGCTTCAGCAACTGTTTAGAGTGTCAATCGTACATCTTCTTTGTCAAATGGGATTTTAAACTGAATCTCTTTCAGTTTTGGACCAGGAAGTTGTGATTAGCCTTTTTAGTCATTCTCTGACATTTCATACACCCAAAAATTAATCAAATAATTAAGAAAATAATTGTCTGATTATTCAGTAGTGAAAACAATTGTAGTTGCAAGCCATATTTAACAGTAGACAGGCACAATAAGAATCAGCCTTATTTGCCAGGTATGTGTACACATACGAGGAATTTGACTCAGGATTGTACATTGCTCACGATGTGCTTACTTATACAATAATACAATAACACAATAATAAAATCAAACACAGGGTACAGTATAGAGAACACATATATGCACTAAACAAAAACAATATAGACAGATTGAGACAATAGTGCAATGAGCAGAGTGCAAAGGTTCCGGAACTTCCTGGATGGTATTAGGTGTGTTTGAGATGACTGCAGCTTACTTTTGCCGACTTGATAGTCAAGCGTGAGATGCAGGCGACTGCTGGGGTGGGGTATAAAAAACGCATTCTACCTGCGTCAGCGCTGCAAAGCTCCGCATGAAGTCAAACGCACCTATTGTCTAGCTGACTCCAGGAGCAACATGCCCAACCATCGCAACCTTTTTTAAACGCAGGGCTGTTTTCTGCATGACTGCCCAGGTTGAAGGTTGAAGTTGAAAGTAGCATCATTTGAAGAACTGAAACAAGAAATGAAAATGCTAATTATTTACTTGTTTTCTTCCTAAGGATAACCTCCAACAGCAACAACAAATGATGGGCATGACCTCCCAGACCGGAACCTCTCATTCCTCTCTGGCCACCACACCCCCCTCCACAGTCCAACCCATGCGCCAGAGTTCTGTTGCCCCACCTCCCACCCAGCGCGTCAAGTCCCAGACCTCCCATCAGCTGTCCGTCAGCGCAGCTGCCGCACCTGCACCGGCTAAAACACGGCCACAAAGTGGGAATCTACTCCAGTCACCAGAGTCCGGCTACAGCGGCAGGCAGCACGGGTCCCGGCAGCTGTCCGTCAAAGACAACACTGCCCCGGGCCTGCCTCACCAGCAGAGCTCTGTCAGGGAAAGCCAGAGTCCACAGGGAACCACAAGTCAGAGCACTCAACAGTCACCACAGCAACAGTCTCAGCAACAGAAACAGCACCTGCTCAAACCCACCATGAGCAAACAGGTAACATCTGAACACTCTGAATTCATTTCATTCTCTATTCTTTTCTTCAGCACTCCAGATTTTTTCTTTCAGCACCTGTGCTCATAGCAACAGTGTGTGTAAGATGTCTGTAACTAAATGTGTCTTTAATTGTGTGTGTTTCGCTTATTGAGTAGTTATAAGGGCTTGAGTCCCACCAGGGTCCGGCCATGCTCAAAACGTAATTTATCGTATATCAACAATAAACACAGTTGAAAAAGACCAAAAAAGAAACATTTTAACTATGTATGTGAGATATGTAGCTGTGCAGATGTTGTAAAATGTACACGCCCTGTGCCCACTCTGATTGGTGAGTAGGACCGTAACAGGAGGCGCATGGCGCTTGTGATTGGTGAGCAAGTCTGTTACACAAGGATGACAACGGAATGAATTTGTAACTGCATGACTGTTAAAAAGGGTCAGATGCGCTGTTTAATTAACCTACATTTTTAATCGTAGTCTTCACGATTAGCTAATCACGTTCTTTCAAATTGCAATTTCAATTTGAAAACGATTAATTGTTCAGCCCTGATAAAAACCCTCTCAAATATCGCTTGTTATGAAACTGACTCTCATCCACTTAAGAATTTAGGTTCTCATATTCATTGTGCTGGCCTTTTTTCCTAGGTCGCCCAGTCTCCATCTACCCTCAATCCCCCAACCCCAGCCAATGAGCGAACAGTGGCCTGGGTCTCCAACATGCCTCATCTGTCGGCTGACATTGAAAGTTCGCGAATTGACCGTGAAGAGTTCAAACTAAAGGAGTACTCAAAGAGTATGGATGAGTCACGCATGGACAGGGTAGGTTTCACTTATATCACAGGCTTCTTTTATTCATGCTTGGTAAAATGCAGAGGAACATTGAGTCACGTCTATCATTGCTGAGCAGATGGCACTCTGGTGTAAACGCAGAGGTCCAGAGGTCTCAAGCTGTGTGGGAAACAACGCCAAGTGTTCATAAATCTTTTTCAGTGTTTTCAGTGGTATATTCACTGTACATCAGCCTTTGTGCAACAGCTACTGTAATTTTAAATATCTGGAGGTGGTTTTTCTTTCCAGTATCTTTTAAATTCATGAATGCGCATAAAGAACTTTTAAAACCACTAGCCACTGAGAATTCAAGCTATGTAAACACTAACCTACTTAAAACATTTCTAGTTTAGCATTCTCTCCATATCTCTGCCTCAGGTACGGGAGTACGAGGAGGAGATCAACTCCCTGAAGGAGCGTCTGGTGATGTCCCACAAAAAGCTGGAGGAGTACGAGCGGAGGCTCCTCACGCAGGAGCAGCAGACCAATAAGATCCTCCTACAGTACCAAAATCGACTTGATGACAGTGAGAGGAGGCTACGCCTACAGCAAGTGGAGAAAGACTCCCAAATTAAAGGAATAATTAGCAGGTAAATGGAGGCTGTTGTTGGGATGGAGGGCAAAAGACAGCTAAGACGTCATGTGGTCTTTTATAGTTAGGCCATTGGCGGGCCACATTGACTTTATTTTTGTTTATTGTGACGCCTGTGGTGACTAGACTATATGAGTTTTCTTCTAAGAAGTGGCATATTCGCTCAGACTAAGATTGCAATCATGAATTAAAATACATTATCATACTCCTGAGCAGTAAGTGGAAGCAGTAGTCTTTGGTTGACACAGTACAACTTTAGCATATTGGATTCTACTTAACAAGAGTGAAACATGAACTTGAAGCAGTGATGTTTTTCTCAAGATACAAATATTGCATATTGGAATATGACTATTTACAGGGGTTGTTATCTTTCAAAGAATATTGGAAGGTAGGAGGTTGTTTCAGTTTCATTAAGTACTACAGCCCTGGGAGAAAGGCAGGGAGCATACTGTATATTAAAAGCCAAAGCTGCAGACATGTAATGAGTGATAAATTGAATGAGAAACTATTATGAGGAAGACAGAGATATATATCTTCTTCGATAAGCATGCAGGGCATGTTCCCTTGGTGGTTGGTTCTCTTCAACTGGACAAAAAAGTCTTTGATTGTCCTCTAAGCTCTCATAGCAAATCTGCTATCAAGACCTCACAACATGGTTTACTTGTTGTTCAAGAGCATCATATTTTGGTTGACTGTGGAGAACTCCAGCTGAGCCCTAATTTATTGAGTGCTTGGGTGAAATTATAATGGTGTAGTTATTGAGTGCAGTATCTACTTTTTATTGATCAGCCACAAAATTAAGTAGTTGATGGGAAAAGAGTGGAATATTGATCGTATCTCAGTTGTATACAGGCACGAACCACATTTTTGCTGTGTTCTAAGAATTCCTTGAGCATTTAACTGTTACTTCACATCTGCAATGCTGCCTAAATTTGCTTCTATTTATTTCCCAATGTTGCATTCAGATAAAAAAGGCTGTTAGGAAAAGAAGTACAAGATTTTCTTGTTCACAACTTATAATAGTCTATGGTCTGAAACTGAAGGGTGGATATCTGTGACAGAGAATATTGCCCCTTCTAATCCACTCCAGGAAAGAAGACATGGAATGAAGACAGAGACAGTCCTGCTCGTCTTTTATGGGAAAACATCTAACCTTGTATATAAAAACATCCTTTAAATATCCTCCCATATACTTGTGCTCTTGCACTTATCATCAGCCATTTCTATGAACAGCTTTTAACTGGATCTTGGGATCATTTCAGATGATTGCACTTAGCCTATTTTCAATTGACTCTCCCTCGAGATTGCGTTGTAAAAGCACAAGAGGACTGAAGGTTTGATAACTTCAGAAACATGTCTGCACTTTTTAAAGCAACAAACGGCATTGTTTTGGGCCTTCAGGCAGAGGACAATGGAAGGCCATGGTTTAATATTAGCTCTTCCGTTTTAAATCAAGATGAACCATGTTCACTGAAGGACTGCTGATGTATATTTCTACAGAGTGAACATGGGGGCCGATACGTCTCTCCTTTTTTGCATTCATACAGTACTATGGTGGAATATGAAGAGGGGAGAGAGTCACAGACTATGATGAAGATTCAAGCATAAAGGCATAAAGGAAATATGCCACATAATAGATGGAACTTTATCAGAGCACTTAAAGCCTAACAATTGATTTTTGCTCCTCTGGGGCATATTGCTTAAAGCGAATACAGTAAGCATAGAAGGAAGCTGATATCTCCAAGGCTTACACTTGTAACTTGTGTGACTTTTATCATCTGACCACACAAGGATGTATTAAGTAGCAGATCTCTATGCTTCCAAGTCAATTATACTAACAATTTACTGAGCCAGACCATGTCATCGAATGTATAGCAAGACTTGTGCATCATCTGAACACATTTTAATTTCAACATATAAATTATGAGCAATGCAAAGAGTGCAGAAAGTGTGGATGCCAAGAAACATGGTCTCAGGCCATCATATCGGATTGATTGGACACCAAAATCTTAGTGAGAAGACAAGTGTAGCCTTATTTCATCTTAATTTGACTTTTATGTTAAATTTTCACATTCAAATAGATTATGTTGATACAAATGCAAACTCAGGTTCTGCAAAAAGGAGCATATGTGATCTTGAATTTATGGCTTCTCTGTAGGCTGGAAAAAATCTCTTGATCTGCAGAACTTAAACACTTAGCGTTGTGTTTGTCAGAGACTTTCTTTCAGAGAAGCCTTAATGTTCTGTGCATAAACTTTACTATTTAAGCTTTGAGCACATCTGAGATCTGTCATTAGATTACATCCACTTTTTTGTTTCCAACAATCTAATTTAAACCAAAGCAACGTTGAGTTTTAGTTTAAATCCACTGAAAACACTGAATCCACTTTACCTGTAGCACTTGTATTTATATATTTTTCTCTAGGGTAGTGACCCCATTAGTTGGCTACAGGCTCTCCACTTTTTTGTCAGAATATTTGAATGCCTTTTGGTTATTATAAACATAAACTATTTATCTTCCCCAAGATGTGAACTAAACAACTGATTTACATATGTGAGATGCAGTGAGTTCGCAGGAATTAATGGTCTTAATTGTACCTGTCATAGTAATAATCTATTTTTAACTATAATCCATAGCATATTAAAGTTTGTGATGCAAGAGCCATAACAATAATAATATATGAGATATATATGAATTCTATTGATAGTGAGATTATAAGTATTTTAACCTTGCAATAGCTAACTTTTTAGCAGCAGAAGCGCAATAATAGATACAATATGTCTACATGTGCTGTCTGTGCATTGCACATGCAGGATCCTGCTGAGGTGTATTGTATGCATCTTGTGTACATAAAGAAACAATAACTTCCTGCCAAAATCTTTTACCAGGTGCCATCCACAGTATCTAAACAGAAAACATAAAGACCTGGAATACTGTAAAGTGCAAAATACCACTGAGACAACATGACAGCAATGGCGTGACTCTTTGACAACAGTGTGTTCTGCAAAGTGTGTTCTTAAGTTCTCAACTTGTGTTTGGGTTATCTGTATGGTGTTTGTGAATGTATCTGCATTTTAAATGAAAGACTGCAATGAATATTATTTATTAATTAGAGCGAAAAAGATTTTCTTATATCTGTATGATTTTGCTGTATATGCTTGGTATGACTTTTGACCTGCAGTCCGTCATTGGTGGTGTCCAGTGACATGGTGATCAGAATAGATGTTTAAGCAAGTAGACAGTACTGTCATTTAACTTATGCAGTTACAGTATGATTTAAATATTATTATAAAAAGGGCAACCATATTATTTTTTTTTTCCTCTCCAGAGACATAGATAATAATCTGGTGTCAGTATGTCCACCTCTCTTTTGTAGCAAGAATATATTGATAGGCTACTACAGCAAAACTTATGTTTAAATCTTGCAAGTTAATTCATAGTGGTGATGAGTTTTGGTTTGATGTGTGTGTGATCAATATCGGTCTGATTGGCATGGCTTGTAGCAACAGCCAAGGGTTTATAGTCACTTTTATACGGACCTGTTTCAAATGGTTGCAAATAATTCTCAGTTTGTTTTAACCAGATGGGTGGGGGTCTGCTGCATCAACACAAATCACATGTTGAGAGGTAAGTTTTCAGTCAAAGACACATACTTTATGTTGCACTTGGCAAAAAAAGAAAGTATTTGCAGCTGATTTTTGATCCAGGTCTGTTGTTTTTTTCCATTGACTTTACTTTAGTTTTACATCCTATTTAACACCTTTGTCCTCCTGCCTTTTTTTCTCTGTAGCAAAATATTCAGACAGTGTGACCTCACGTTGGTAGATACACACATTGTTTTGACTACGTGTACGACTTGACCTCAAAAGCACACTACTTGAAGTACATCTGAATACAAAAAGCTTTTTTGTAACATATCACCCACATGAATCATTGTCTGCCTCTTGAAGTCATGTCAAAATCTTAATGCTGTACACCCATGTTACATTCCATTGTTTTTTGGGACAGTGCTTATATTTCTGTCTGCTTACAGTATGATTGATTCTTTTCTTTTCCAATTCTCTTCTTTTGTAAAATAACTCAACATTGTACATTATTTATGGAATAAAACATCCAAACACTTATGTTTGAAACTTCACCTGTGGATTTTCGTTCTTTATTGTCAAACACGTCCGTCTCTGTGTTCTGAATAAACGATATGAAGCTGAAGGTAGCACTGAGAGAGACAATACGACTTGATTGGTGGTATATTTATTCTGCATGGAAACATGGTGGCAATTAAATGTTCCTGTATACTATTGGCTATCTGGCTTAGGGGCCTAATGAACACACAAGTTATAGTCCTTCTGGTAATTTTACCCTGACAAATTGACAAAATTGCAAAGTTACTATTATAAAGGGATACTTTCCCAGCAAGCTTATTTCATGTCAATAAATTGCAAGGATGTTTTTGCTGCTGCTGTAAAATAACGGATGGAAAGTCATGAAAGGAAATCCAATGAAACCCATCATGTAAAGAGGTCTTTTTTTATTCATACTAACTTCTATTTGGCATTCATCACCACCATAACAATATTCACAGTTTTGCCAGTTGGCTGTGCAACTGCAAGATAACTTTGTGAGAGAAATATCCTTGAATGACCCTATCTGGAGTAAATCCCTGGCACTTGGATAATCACGAGAGCCGGGAAACCTGCACTGTCTGATGGCTCATGAAAACTACAGTGAAGTCTTTGAAATCAGTTGTCAAAGGATTTTCCACCAGCGCCTTGGTCAATCCATGTTACATAAGATGGTCAATTCCCTGGGGATGATCGGGATCTGTTACTGAACCATTCACTTCATATAACTGAGTGTAATTGTCCACAGTTGGCCGTAATTGCACTTTTAGTACACCTTAAAATGGGTATAAATGCTTTGATGAATCCCATGGGGCGAGAAGAAAAAAGGCTCCACCAGTGAAAATTGGCAGTGCCTCAGAAAACATGGCTTGGGTTTCTGCTGCTCAACATTTGCATGGGCTTAAAAGATTGAGCTGCCTATCAGGTTTGGAATTCAGGTTTGAGATACAGGTAACCAACATCTTATCACTGTGGTGGTGTTGAGACAGATGTGAGGAGATGCATCTGCTCAACTTCTTGTTAAGTATCATCTTGAATTCATAATATTCCCTCTCTTTCTGTCACCCCTCCCTTCCCCTCTCTCTCTCTCTCTCTCTCTCTCTCTCTTTCTCTGCTTCCAAGACTCATGGCTGTGGAGGATGAGTTAAGGGGAGGACCAGTGATTGAGCCAAAAACCAGGATTTTCGCTGATCAGGTCTGTGAGACTGCTTCTTCTCTCGTCGAGTCCGTGCAATGGCCCGTGCTATCTTCTCTCCCCCCTCTTCTTCTCTTTTTCCCCTGCTACTGTTATTATTTTGTCTGCTGTGTGTATGTGGTCCCTCTGATTGTCTTGCCCTGTCCCTGACCTGTCCCTGTGTTTGGATTTGACTGCCATCTGTCGCCAACATACCTGGGAGCTTTGAAGATCAAAATGTGTTGCTGTTTGCATTTCTCAGCTCAAGCTATCGAGATGTCTGACTCTAGCTGGATTTCAGAGCATATCTCGGTCTGTGATGATGATGTTGCCAATTGTGTAGTTGTTTCTGTCGAATGTTTCTGTCGAGCATGTCAGGGGTTGAAACTCCTGTTTCATATAGGATGTAGAACCAGACTCACAATCGGGTTATTGAACAGCTGAGCCCCAAATGCTGCGTGGTGGTGGTGGTGGTGGTGATGATGCTGTTGTGTCTTCAGGAGAGTCCCTCTTTAGTCTGTTTCATTTCATGCTGTCAACCCACCCCCTTTCTTATTCTGTCAGCACACCTCCAAGCATGAGTCATGATGTAAAGATAGTGTACTTGTGAACATATGCGTGCATATATATATATATATGCACACACACACAATGCGTAATTGGGTTGGACACTTGGAAATTTGTCCATATCAGCTTCTTTTAATTATAACCCAGGGGCTCTCATAATCAAACTGAAATAATCATTCTTTATGATTGACACCAGCAGTGGTGGAAATAGTAATCATATGTTTTAGCACTCAGATCTTTACTAACAAAATATACTTACTTAAAGTAAAAGTACTAATTGTGCAGAACGGCCCATTTGAATATAATGTGTATTTATTAATGTGATGCATCAAAGTATTCATCATTTTAATGTTGTAGCTGGTAAAGGAGGGACATATTTTAGTTACGTTAGATACAGCCGAGTTTATAAATCTATTGTGGGTCCATGTGACACTTTTTAATGCTAATCAAATAGCCTTCAAAAAGCTACAGTAGCCCCCACCTTATGTGTTCCTCCTTTCATTTTGTTGTATTTGTGAGTTTTTGTGAATTAATTGCATGAAAAATAAAAGAAATTCCTCATGGTAGATGTTACCCATCAAAACAAAGGGGAAAAAATAATGCAACATGCCAAAGGGAAGAGCTGTCAGAAGCTTCAGAGCATCACGTGATGGTCATTATTACAACTAATGTGACAATTATATATTCTGAGAAGTCCTCACTATTGTAGAGAGTAGTTACCAGGCTTCTGTTTAGGTTACCAATGTAACCTGTGATCTTGGGGTAATAACTAACTGTTATTTTCATTATCGATTAATATATATATATATATGTATATATATATATATATCGAGTAATTGTTAGATCTACAAAACCTAAAAAAAGCCCCTAAAATGTCTTGTTGTATCCAACCAACTGTTCAAAACCCAGATACAGTTATCTTCAATTTACTATGACGTAGGACAAAGACAATAGCTAATTCTCAAATTCTAAATCTAAAATACATAGAATATTTACTTTAAACCATTAATCCATTACCAAAATAAATTTTCTCTTGACTGACCAATAGACTAATAGTTCAGCTCTACTGTGATGTTGCAGCTTCCTGTTTGTAGATATTACCCCAGTTGGGTAGGATGGTGAATTGAGTGCCATAAAGTGTAAGTGTGGAAAGAAGTATGTGGGATTTGATTTAGTGCAGATTATAACTATTATAATTTAAATAAAGACTCACATTTACTATAAAGAAAATGATTCAGGACTTTTAGAATGAATCATTGGGAGTCTTCGTTGTCAGCAAAAAAATGTGTTGTACCTGTTTTCTGGGGCTGAGCATACAATATTCAATCAGTATTATTATTCTGTTTTCAAAAGATGTGATTTTAAGACACAGCACAAGGTTTGGGAGGATGCCTTAGGACAACATTACAATACTGTTACATAGGGATTCTATTGTATTCTATTGATTGTTCCCTCATATTACTCCTGCTTGTTGTTGCCAAACATTGGCAGGTGAATTTAAAAGCCATTTGCCAAAATGCAACACACATACATAACTTACAACGCATATAATAAATATAAGCTTCAATATTCACAGAGTGGTCACGTGAAGGATTGTTGATTCAGAGCTGTAAATGTAATTTAAACTTAAAATTACATATCTGTCATTGCAAAAGGTTTGCTCACATCACTATATCAGGTTGCCTCTTCAACTGTGTCAAAATTCTAATCATGCTTCAAAAAGATGTGCTCATAAACAACATTACCATGTTTTAAAAGCAAACATGTCTTTAATTAACTTACATTATTGTGTCTGTCTCCATGCTAACAGGTGCTATCCTCATGGTTTACTTTCAGATTTCCCTACACAATTCATTACAATTCCTAATTCAGATTTCTTTTCCTTTTTTTCTTCAAATTTATCCTTCATTTAATCACATCCAAACATTGTAAAATAATGTTTTGTATTAACCATCTTCCGAAACTAATATACGGTTTAAACTGATAAATAACTTCCTTCCACTCTCTCCCCTCCTGTTCTTTTTTAACCAATTACTTTCATCTTTCCCCCTGTAAAGCGTCTTTGAATATTTATAATATCTATTTTATTCATAGAGGAGCTACACACCTTTACACTTGGCAGTACATCCATGATTGAATTGAACTAAATCATTGCATTGAATTGTTGATACCAAACTATGGTCTTTCTCTATTATGGTAAAATAACCAGTTGGTAGAGGAGATATTAACACCAGAATTTAGCAGCAACTAATGGCTTTAAATCTACCAGTGACAATTAAACTCCAATACTGCCTTGGTGAAAATGTATATTGGATTATAGAAGAGCACACTGCTAGCAGCAACCTGCTTAACATTCAAACTATGCTGGAGGTTACCTTCAGTGTGGTGTTTGAATGAGGAATGTTCAACTCATTCATTTCAACAGATCAATCCCTTCAAAGTTAAATCATGGCCTCAATCACTTGAAGGTTTTATCAAATAATATGCCCTATGTGCTTCTAGGTTGTAATAGTAGTTTTGCTTTACTCAAGACGTCATCATGCTTCTGTTAAAGCAGTTGAAAAAATCTGCAGGAAGATAAACTAACAAAAGTCATTGGTTAAAAAGTGAGAGTTGACTAAAGGTTGACCTGAGTGGGGGAATCTTTGTTGTCAAAAGTAAAGTATGGCCACTGCATTTTATAACAATAGCAAACCCAATATACAAAGATAACTGTGTTAAAACCATTGAAAGCTAAAGAGAATGAATGCTATAAGGCAAACATCTGTGATTTAACACAAAGGTTACAGCTTGTAAAAAGACTTTACAGCCATATGAGTGACTCTTTTTGACTTTACTTAGGCGCAATGGGGTTTTGAGATAAATGCTAATGTCAGCATGCTAGTGTTATAGTCAAGACCGCCCAAACCGAGACCAAGTCAAGACCAAGACTTTTAGGGGCTGAGACCAAGTCGAGACCAAGACGGAGGGAGGGCGAGACCGAGTTAAGACCAAGACCAGTTCCCCACATTACATGACACACAATTACTACTTCTAAAAGTGATCTGAAAGACCCACATTCCCATTAAAGCACCCACATACAAACAGTAAGAGCTGAAATCAACGTATGCATCTTTCTTTAACACTCCTCTTGTTTTACATCAAATCAAAGTTAGGATGTTAACAAATAAATGAGATGAAAGCAATTTATTGATATTCCAAAAGTTATGGTCTTGAAATAAAATCCCGAGTCCTCAATGTCCGAGATCGAGACAAGACCGAGTACAAATGCGGTCAAGTCCGAGACGAGACCAAGACCATCAAAAAGTGGTCTTAAGACCGGTCTCGAGTACTACAACACTACAGCATGCTAACATTATGATGCTAAACACAGTACCATGTTCACCATCTTAGTTTAGTGTTTTAACATGTCACAGTAACATTTGCTGATTAGCACTAAACATAATGTGCATTTAAGGATGATAGGAATGTTGTTAGTTTTGCAGTCATAAACCAAACAGGCCTCGGTGCTACAAGAAATGTTAAGAGATTATCAAAGATGTAACAGTTCATCCTGAGGGGGTGTGTGAATGTTTGTACAAAATTTCAAGGCAATTTGTCCAACAGTTGTTATATTATAGATATTACACTCAAAACCACAAATGTCAACCTCGAGGTGGCACTAGAGGAAAAGTCGCAAAGTATGTGTCACAAGGCCGTTTTATTCATTTGGATTAAATTATACAGGTGTTTGTGTTACTGCCATTTAAATGGATAACAGTAGGCTACTAGCTGATACACAAGAAGAAATGTGATAAGATGGAAATCCATTATGCTGAAATGCTCCTTAAATCTATCTTGTTGCTATAATAGACTGTGCTTAGGATGTTTAGAAATTACTGGTCAGTTTTGTATTTAAGCTTCAGGGCCACATAAACCACAGCACTTACAACAAGCAGACAGTTCAGTCAAGTGTGATGACACTTGGGTGAGACTAGTGCACACGCAGCAGCTGAGAGGTGGGGAAAGTAAATTGATAGGGAGTGAGAGGGGTGAGGCATGATGCCATTGTTTCCTCAGGCCACTGCTGCCAACTTCAAAAACAACACCTCACACTTAATTAGACCACACTCACATAATAACACAGGTGCAGGATGCCATAATCTTCCCCACAACAGTATCCTGATACCTGCAAATAATTAACACTGCACAAGTTGACTTCCATCCAGACATTTTGAATTTTCAGAACTGAAATTACAGAAGGATATTTATCAAAAAACTGCTGTATGAGTAAATAAAAGCACAATTCAGAAACTGATAAGGTAATAACTGCCAGATAATGTAACAGGGTATCTGCAGGTCTTGGAAAGTATTAAAAAGCGTTGAATTCAGTTGTATTATAAAAAAAAAAGGCCATAGAAGGTTTAAAAAAGTGTTGAATTTCATTTACAATGGTGGTGATTTTTTTTAAATATTTGTTTTGATGACAATTTGGTTTTTTGTATCTGGTTGCGGGCTGTTGGGAGACATACACTACTAAACTACAAGTGACATTGGTGTAACATTGGATGGTGGAAGCTGTTGAATCCTTTTGTGGAGTTTCAGTCAGCAGCATCAGACCTGTAGCAAACACTACTGCCAGCAACAGTGGCTAGCAAGTATATCGATTGCAAAAAAGAAATGATGTATGGTACGTGTGGTACATTGAGCTAAACATAATGCAGCCTGATACAACAGTCCTACAATTAATACTTCATGAATGTTATAAGTTCAAGAGGTTCGAGAGGTGTTGATTTAATTGTGTAGTTATTTTAGAAGATTTAGTTTGTGGTAAATACTGACTGTCTAATATTTTGTTCATCCTATTTAAATCAAAGAATCACCTCTCTGCGTAGTGCAATACAGCCCAACAGGACCACAAACTACATCCTCCAAAATGATCACAAAGTCAATGAATATATGTTTTTAGTAAAGAAATGTTGGTCTTACTGGTTTTCCTTCATCCTTCGCTTTTGAAAAATGTATCATTTCAATTACACTCTGTGTGTATTAAAAAGTTATTTAAAGGTTCACATTTAATTTGGTGAACACTGTGTAAATTTGGTAGCAAACATGTTCAACAAAATTGGTTGAAAATATAAGAAAACATGTTAATCCAATAAATTACATCAAATTATATATTTCAATTGGGGAGACCTTTTATTATACTTTTTATATTATTTGGCAGTTGCTGCACATTTTCAGTTGTAAAAATTTAAACACTTATTATAAGTTTTTTTTAACCATTTACCTGTTAAATTGATCATTTATAGAACCTTCCTTTAGATGTTGCTAAACTTTTTGAACTTTTTGTTTTGTTGATCCTCAGCAAGGTGTGTTTAATGAGGAATCTGCTTCCTTGCAGTGACATTATTCATATCTCTGTTTCATAGATATAAGATCTGATTGCAATCTTTTATCCACACTCGTTGCAATTTCCTGAATGTTGGTGTGTGTGTGTATCTGTGTGTGTGGGTTGGGGGGAGGAGGTTGTGATGCGTATTAAGTAAAATGCAAAAATCCTGCAGTTTCTCTTTGGTTTTTGGCATAGTGTATTAATGTAAATATAAATCTGAGTTTTCCATGTGTTTATATTCTTCTTCATAGAGTAGATAATTGCATGTTTTAAATAAGCATGTTTTTTGACTGTCTTCTTGCTTTTTTTGAACCAGGAAACATGCAAGACTCATCTTTCCAAAGTCTATTGGATTAATCAGTTGCTTTCAGATGCAGATGTCACTGGGAGAGCACAATTTAACGCCTTTTTCTTTCTTATCCTAAGCATGATTTCTGTTAATGAAACAGCATGGCACGCTGCTTTAATGCTTTCAGGCTGTTGGGTTGTCTGATAATGTTGTGCGTGTAGGGTTGCCATTATGTATATGTATGTAAATGTGTGTGAGCATTTTTGTGTATATTTATGTCCTTGTTTTCTGTTCACTTTTTGTTGCGCATTGTGTATGTATTGTTTGGGTGGCTGTTGTTTTCCTCAACCCTCACTGCCCTTCTTAATCCTCCCCTCCTCCGCACACAAGCCGTCCCTCCTTCCTTTGCTGTCAGCTTCCTCCTCCTGCCTCCTGCTTTCCACTCTCCTCTCCTCTCCTCTCCTTTCCTCTCCTCCTATGTTGATGAGATACGGTGATTTCTCTTAGGGGAGGCGTCAGTCCATCCTAGTGCAGCCCCGTCTCGCGCCTGTCCCACCCCGAGTATCCAGGTAATAAACCAACCGGCAAACTCTCACTCTCCATCCATAACCTGCTGCCTCTTTTCCACTTCTGCTGTTCTCTATGTGCGTCCCTGTCCATATGCAGCACCCTGTGAACTCACTTCAAGCCAACACACTGACAGGCCCACTTACTGTTCCATTTATCTTTGAGAAAAAAGGCCTGCCATAGAATTTTTGGACAGAGGTTACTTGAAGGGCACACCTCTGTGTGGAAAGAGTCACAATAAAACATTTCAAAGATTTAAAGCTGCACTAAGCAACTTGGCAGCAACTGTAGTAACCGTACATCATGTTATACAATATCAGTTACCTGCACACAGCACCAGGCCGAACTGTGATCCCTTTCTACCTAAGGATACCAAATGGCCTAGTGAGGTTGGAAATGTAATAAAGATGAATAAAAATATGCCCTGTTCCAACGATTTCAACAACAACAAAAAAACAAGAGAAGCTATGTCTAATTGATGATCAAGACAAACAGAGGTAAATCAAGACTCTCTCTGGCTCTGTTTGACTTAGCTAATGTGTCGTTTTAGCAGACAGAGTGGCTGGATAACTTTTGCAAGCTAGCCACAGACAATGTTTCTTGACTCACAGTTGGAGCACTTCTGTGGCTTCCCCACCACAACAAACGAGAAGTGCTGATACATGGTGAGATGTTGCGTGATATATACGCTTTCAGTGGTTTTTCTCCGTTACTCTGACATAGTTTTGTAATTTCATTCATTTTAGTCCTGCTCATAAAGGCTGAGCTCAGGTATTTTTCATATTAGCGAAACATCCATCCACACAGCAGACCACTTTGCAAAGTTGATGAAATCGGAGATGTGGTTGATGACTAGATGTCTGGAACCACGCTTTAAGCCTACCTGTAGCCAAAACGAATAATCTAGGAAACTAATCAGAATTTAAAATCTAAGTCATATTAATTAAACAGGATGGGATGTCTGTCTCTGTTAGAGTCCCATTTCCTGACTTAGGCTGAAAAGATCTATTTTTACATGCATATATTGTCTAATGCAGCTTTAAAGATTCTTCTTTACTGGCAAATGACGAAAATGTCTAATTTATGCACAGTGCCATGATTGGCATTGTATGAAGTAAACTTCCTTTTTTGACATTTTCTTTGTTTTTCTTTCTTTGCCTTCTTGTATCCACTGTTACTCTGGAAATATTCTGTGACAGACTTCAAAGTCAATTTTATTTGAATCATTTTAGAAAATTTAGGTTGCTTTTTTTCACTTTATGTTGACCAATAAACATATAAAACATGTCTTGGCAGAAATATAAAGAAAGACATAGAGCTTTCTAATGTCATTTCAAAACATTAAACATTTTGTGTGTTGCAGCCCTCTACAAGTGAAAACGCCATTGCATGTTCACACACACAATTCAGTCATAACCAGCAAGCGACAGACATACAGTATATGCCAACACTATTATTATTCGCAAATGAGTTTCATGTCATATACGGAGACCTTCCTGTAACACTTTGCATTGGGTGCATTGTTGAAATGCAGAAAAGATTAAATAATCAATGAATATGATTGAACTCTGCTATTTTCACATGTTGGCATTTGCAAATATTCAGCTCAGATTTTTATGATAATTAATTGTCACCATTTCTTTTCACTTGGCCTTTATTATCTTTGAATGCACTAAACAGTCTTACAATAATCAACTGTATAACCCACTGGTTAGTATAGAGAATATACAGTATTACTGTTACATGTACACTCGTTACAAACAGGATGCAGATTCCCTCTAGTTCTTACAATTGCACAATGACAAGGCATTAGTGAATTCATAACCAGACACTAAAATTATTTTCAAACAATTTTGAATGCATAATTGTTCATTTCTGCCAAGCAGCTACACAGAAAAGAAGAAAAATCCAAATTAAGAGAGAATACACACAATCACATGTTTTATGGTTCCATAGACTTCTATTCAGATTTGTGAGATATTTTGGGCATGTTTACTAGTGAAATTCCTGGTTAAAAACAGGCCCAAAAATGGATTACTATTCTTGGTGATAAATCTGTCTGAAAGTCTCTAAATATATTGTGTGAATGCTCTTTTATTTTAGATTTGTTTTCCCTCTCACACAACATATTTTTAACTGCTGTGTTTTGCTGCACACTTACATTTCCATTCAGTTTTTCATTCCTCCCAGCACGCCCTCAGACAAAACAATGGGATTCATGGGAAATCTCCGTATCTGACCCAATCTTTCCCTGAAGAACACTGATTAATGTGCACATGTTTTTTGTGTGTTTTCTGTGTCTTTCAGCGAGTCAGTGTTTCTGATATTTACGTGTTTGTGTATGTGTTTGGCACCTGGGCACATTATTTGTTTGAATGGTGGCGCAGGCCAGTTGTTGGTATGTCTGATGATGTGTGACATGCATACTATGTTTTTTTGTTGTTGTTTTGCGTCAGAGTTAGAGCTCTTCACCTGGCAAGCTAGTCATCTTAAGCCATACTGGGGTTCTTTTAATTTAACAACTGCCATATATAAATTGATTAAACCAACACTTACAGCAGGAGGTGAGAAAGATTTTACAGTTTGCTCTAGGCATCCACGATTCAAATTGATTGGAGATTGGAGGAGATGGGTAAGAACCTGTGTGTACGATACTCTATCTGCATCATTACTATACACCTAACATTTCAGTGCTCCACTAAGTGTTTTCTGTTTCTGTCTCCAGTACAACAATTTGCATTAGCATAAAAAACACTCTCACACCAAGCTGTAATTGAATGCACCAAGTAATCAAACACTACAGCCCACAGAGAGTGAAGCAAGTTTGGTAAGTTAAAAAGGATGTCAGTAAACATTTTGCCATGTCTTTGTTCAGCTGCTTGGTTTGAGTTTAATAGACATGTGTATTGGTCTACACATGGATATTAAATTACACTGTTGGTTGTGTTTGAGAGTAATAAAACAAGTGTTAGTGGAGTCATGTTACTGGCATCCTGTAACTGTCTTGACCATACCTTTACTGTAGCTGTTCATAGCACCAGTTAGCAGCTGGAAATGTTTTCATCCATTTTGGTTCTGATTGAGAAGAGAAAAGGCCTGCTAATTCACATCAGATTTTGGGGTGATTTTTTTTTCATTCTTCTTTTCACTTTTTTTTAAAGTGAAATGGAAACACCTTCCACTCACAATGGACACACCCATCAGATACAGCTTATCCAGTGATAATTTGCTTTTGATCCTTTTGATTCATTTCCTCTACTGGATGCAGACCAAACTTTCCCTCCTACTTCCTGTCCTTTCCTTCTACAGCACATCATTCCATTCACGTTACAGTATTTCATACATCTTGTATGTAAGCATTAAAGTGGTATTCAATGTCATACATATTTCCGATGATTGCTAAAGATAAAGAGTTTTTTAGATGGCTCTGTACTCGTTATACACTGAAACAGTGAAACAGAGCCTCTGTAATTATGTCTAGACACCACACAGCAAATGTGCCAGGCAAGATAAATCAAGTGCAATTATTTCAAGAGGTTCTACCCAGGTCTGATGGTAAAACTGTGAAAACTTCCAGCTTTCAAAATGCTTCTTTATTCAAATCGTCTTGCAGTAGCTCTTACATATTAAGCACCATTACAAATAGAGTCCTCATAGTTGTCTATTGGCACAATAACCCAATTGTTTTCTCTCCCCACTGCTCCTACATAGATGTCAGTGAACAAGACTGGGAGTGAAGGCTTGCAAACAGACCTTAATATAAACTAATAATGAAACTAGTATTGCATTGCTGTTATTCTGCGCCAATGTAAGAAAAGATGGCAAAACCAAACTTTGTCTTAATCACTAATCAAAAGCTCCAACCCAGGGTTTACACCCATGCAGCAACACATTGGGTTAGAAATTGTGGTTGGTGAATTTGACAGAGGTTTGGATTTCCTGCCAGGCTGCAGGATGCACCTTTATCACGCTTTTGAAAATTTGGCTCTGAGCTCTCTGTGGCTTGACGTTTTTTTGCATGTTTTCAGTAACCGGCTGACGCTACAGTATGTGCTGTTAAGATCTTTTTGGAAGCCATAATTGTAGAGTGCTTTTGTAGTGTTTAATTTAAAATACTTTCAGCTCCCCAAGCTTGCACATTTACATAGAAACTTAGTAAATATTGATCATGATTTGTACCCATTGGCAAATAATGACTCACTTGACTTTCTGACTTTTCCTGACACCTGTCACCCAACAAACACCCCTTGCTACTTATCCCAAGAGGATCAGGACCCTTTGGCCTCAAGAATTTTAATTCACCCTTCATCCCTTCTTTCCCCTTGTCCCTTTTCCTGTGCTGCCATTTCTATTGGTGTCCGTCATGCATCAACTTCGTAACTCATTTGGCTCTCTCTCTCCTCTCTCTGTCTATCTCTTTCTTTCTGTGTGCTTGTTCCAATCCCTTATCCCTTGTGTCTTTTATTTTCTAATTCCTCTTTCCTTTTGCTTCTGCCATTGCTTTTACATGTACTCATTACAACCGGTATTTGTCAATGTTGATGTTTTACACTTCCACGCAATTCAATCACATATTTCTCTGGTGATTTTACTCCCTGTCCTCTTCCCATCTGTGTCTCACTATTCTTACTTCCTCCCACACACTCACTCCTCTTCAACATGTGATTTTTTCCCCCTCTACATGTCACGTTATCTGCCTTGATTGGACATTTCCTTTACAAATCCTCATATCCCTCCCATCGTTCATTGAATGGACTCTCTCCTACGACCATCTCTCCCCGCTCCCACTACTCTTTCCCCTCCCCTCTCTCTCTATCTCGCTAGGAGGACCAGCTTTCCTCCCTGGGTTCTGCAGACCCCGGTGTGAAAACTGAAGGTGGAGGGGGAGGTGGTGGATGCGGAGGAGGACAAGGAGGAGGACAAGGAGGAGCGGTAACCAACGATCAAGGCTTCAGAGTCTCTTCCTTGGGCATTTCTTCAGACAGCTTGCCCAACAATGGCGTCCTCCCCCAAATTGAAGACCCTCCCTCTCTACCCACTCCTCATCAACATCCCAGTCAGAATGGAGAGCTCCGTGGCAACCAAACATCCTCCCCCATGACAACCTCACAGGCAACTGGATCCACAGCAACAGCAACTACAGGCATAGCAGAAGAAGGGGGAGTAGGTCAAACACAACACTGAGCCAAATCAGAGAGAGATGACACACAGGAAAACACTGTCCCCGTCTTTCCCATTTAGCAAGACAATGCTCTGAAAAGAATTCGCCTTAGATATTCTTATTCCCCGGGCAAGAGAGAGAAGAAACGAGGAACGAGTAGTAATCATACAGCTACTGTACAGTGCATACCACAACACACAATATAAAGGGCTCTTCAATGGACACTTGTTCTCTTGATGCTCACATGGAGCTTCAGTTAGTATCAGTCTTGCAGGACAAGATAATGATACCTTATAAAATACTGAATTGACATACGTACCAAGCCAATATGTGAACATCTGCTCTGTGCTCTCTTGCCTGTCTGCAGCTTCATGAGAAAGAAATACATGGAAGGAACAAGCACTATAGAATGTCTTGCACCCCAAAGACTTAATAGTAGCCATTAGCAGGTGCTATAAGCTAACTTATAGTAACCCTCGATTCCCATGGATGTAGGTGCATTAAATATACCTATCCTGAACTCGCCAGGCTGCAAATTGTTTAGGTAGAGATGTGGTGATGTAGTCTGGCTTTCTTAGTGCCTTTGAGTGTTTTTCAACTGAGTTTTCCAATAGAGATGTGATACAGAAGTAACAGATGGAGATCCAAGATAGCTTTGTTAGTCAGAAAAATGATCTGTGGGCTGAAAACAGAGATTCAAAGACACAAGATCAAGCGTTGTAGAGGTTTGAGTGACAAAGACATTTTTGGGAATTTTTCTCTTTTTTTCAATCTAAGGGACTTCTTGTTTTTGGACTGAGCTCGTGCAATTTTTCTCTTCTCAATCTCAGAACCGATATGTGACAAACTGGTGCTAAACAGAAACAAATGGTGCCATTTTCCAAGTCAAATGTCTGTGTCTGCCATAGCACTGCCTCTTTCATGATTCACTCACTGTCTTTTCTATCTCTCTCTTTCTGTCTCTGTCTCTCTCTCTCTCTCTCTCTCTCTCCTGCGATTTGTCTTTGACAGGACTTTTTTTTTCCCAATATGTTTTATATGTGTCTTTGTCTTTGTTCTTTGTGCATCCTGTTGTTCTTCTTATGTCTAATGGGGTTCCATATCTGTGTTTTAGTCTCCTCCAATCTCTGGTTTTATTTACAGTTAATAAAAGCAGCTCCCCAGCGGCTTAAAATTGATGGATCATCTATTGAACGGGCTATTTCAAATTTGTGAAGACTGAGCTCCAAAGTGCTATTTTCAATTTACACAGAGCACTAATAATTTTAAGATTGAGTGAAGCTAATTGAATGAAATGGATGAATGGATCTTATTCCAAGTTTAAAGCTTTTTTTCAGTTAAAAAGTGTTGGTCTATTGTGTTCACATATAGAAGATAAGTGGTGCCATTATTAGTCCTTTTTAGTCCAATTTTTTTCTTTCAATTTTCACCAAAACTAATGTGAAATCAATATTAATGACAGAAATAGTAATTGTCCCCTTATGTTTTTAGTTTGGGGCTCTTACCACATTTTATTACAGTAAACATTTCCTTGTGTGACATGATAACAAACAATCATCTTGTTCTCAAATATGTGTAAAAACACCATTTCAAACATTTAGGTTTGCTAAGCCTGCCATTAAGTGCCTAGGATAAATATGTTGAGCATCCTTTGGCCAATAGACTAGCTAGTCATCGACCAAATGCACATTATAATGCCTTGCTTAAGACAATAAGAATATTTTACACCACAGATGCTTTAAAAATCGGTAATGACATCGTTCTTTGTGTAGTTTCCATAATTTGAAGTTTCATTTTAAAATGAAGAGTGGCACCTATTTTTGAAAACATTCGACAAGAGCATTAAAACAATTTAAAAGATGGTTAGAGTAAATTGTTAACGGTACATTTTAGAAATATTGTATGATGTAATTTTAAAATGAACTCTTCAGTTTCTCATGTGTCCAATGCTGAAAACACAAGTCTTTGAAATGTTTGTAATGTGTATCCATATTCCTTCATTTTGTGTATGAACTGTCTGTTGTAAGGTTTGTCTGGATGTGAATTTGTTTGTTTTTTTGTCTATGTAGCCTCACACACACACTGGTGTCGCTTTGCTACAACTCAGCTTGTTTAAACGTGCAGGTTAAATCAAGAGGAGTTCGCATCAGCTTTGTGTCAGACATTTTTCTCTTCAGAGAGAACAAATCACTTACTTTGTAGTGTTAAAGGCCACCATGGCCAATGCTAGTACTTTCTAGGCCAGTGGTAGTGGATTAGGTCATACTTTAAGTGAATGTTTATCCATTGAACTACCAAATGTTATACGCAGGGAAAGATTGGCTTCTGTTTAGACAGCTTGTAGGGCTACTTTTTTTCTTGTGAAAATACTTATGTGTAAAGAATGGTGGATTTAAAGCAGACTAGGTTTGAACATCTTTTCAGAGATGTGAGATGATCCGTGATTGAGAAATTAACATTGCTGTGAAAATACCTCAGTGACTCAGGTAAACAAGCAGTTGCCTCAGAGCTGAACACAAAAACTATAGAAAAGAGATGAGTCCAGCTTTGGAAAGACTGCCATCATGCAGATACTCGGTCTCTAGCTATACTTCAATAGCAGCTGATCAAGCACCCTCCCCCGTTTCTTCTCTCTCTCTGTCTCCTTTTTTTTCTCCCCCTAGCCACTCTCAAAGCTTCATGGAGGACAATGTGGAACCTAATTGGCTGATGCACCATCGGCAGTCCACAGGTTGGCATGGCCAAATGTCCAGAGCCCTCTCTCGTGACGCGATTGGCTGACAAAGGGAGAACTTGGGGCATTGGTCCCATTCTCTTTGCTCAAAGGATGGTGCAGAGCCCCAGCGGACCATGTAAGGAAATGCTGGGGTTTTTTTGTTTTTGTTTTTTTACCTAACTTGGGCCCTCTCTCTCTCTGATATGAAAACAGGATTTTTTAAAATGTGTTGGGCACTCTTGCTTGGATCTACATTTTACTTTTAAAAGGTAGGCTGGAGTCATATTGGTATATGTTAGCCTGCCAAGCATGCAAAGAACAGCTATGCAGTCTGATCAATCAGCAGAACGGAGGAACACAAAGGCCAAGGAAGGCGTGATGCTCAAAATGAGAGAGAGGGGAGGTATATTGTGGGTAAGATGTATTTCAAAGGTGCTTGACTTTCGGTCAAAGCTGATTTACTTTCAAAGCATTTATTTCAGTCTATCTCTCTCTCTTAGTCTTTTAAAATTATCCTTTGATTCCTCTTCATCTATTCACTCTTTATCTATCTAGGATTCTCAAGCATTATTTAACCACTTAATTTTTACTCCATGTTAGGCACACTTGATTTCTTTTTCGATTCATAGTTTTAGCTCTTCCGTTCCAATCTCTTTCAGGCTTTATTTTTAAAGGAAACTAAATATGCACAGCCTAATACAGCAAGAGAAACTGTTTCTGAACAAAACTCTTGCTTCAGTGAAGACTTTGAAAAACCGGACAGAATGTTATTATTTATATTTCTATGATACTGCTTCTTCTTACAATAGTATAAAAAACTCTTCATCAGATATCTTCCGGAACAGATATTTATTTCTTGATATAGATAGATGCCTCTATCTAATGGAAGTTCATAAATAATCCATTTTATATGAACCAAGTTTTCTTACTAAGACAATCTTGTGGAGAGAATCATTGCCCTAAAGGACTGTGACAAAAGGGACAAACTTGTGTTATACCTACTCCCCTTACAGCATTTTGCACGTTGCTGTGACCTTTGCCCTCCTTCTTCTTAGTTATAATCATTCAAAACAAAACAGAAAAAATGGACGGATGTTTCTTGCCCAACAATCGCCATGGAGCTCTCCATTTACGGACGATGTGAAAGTCTTTGGATGAGGACATTCTTAAAGCTATTGTTTTGTACTCCACTTCGACTATCTGTCTGTAGAGTTTTAACCGACAGAGGATGAACTCTTGGTTTCAGTGTGGCCACATTTCTGCAGTCAAATTGGTGTAAAACTCCCCATTTATTTCTATGGATGGACTCCACTGACACCAGTCTGAGTTGAAATCCCTGCCATTTCCACTTATGACTGAAACAGAGAGAGATATGTTAGAGGTCCTGCTGAAACGAGTGTATGTGTTTGTATATAAGTGTGTGTACTGACTAAATCTTTGTATATATACTGGATAAATGTGTATATATGGTATGTCTATGTGTATATACAGTTTGTTTGTATATGCAGAGTGTACAGTTATTTTTCCTCTAATGTTTCTCTCTCTTTCTATGAATAGGTCTTCTCAAGTTACCAATACTGAGGCATGGAAAGGTTTTTAAATGTATCGAGCTATCAGAGGCACTTTCTGTGCAGACATCAGAATATCAGCAAGGTCTGTCACTTATAGCTGCATTCTTAAAGCTCTCATACAAGAAGTAAGTCACATAATCTTAAGCTTGCACTCATTTTCTGACCAACTAAAAAGCTTTTCTAAGTAGATTTGGGTGACCAAGCAATGTTTGTACATATATAGACTAAGAAAATTTTTCCAGAAACCTCCATCTGCATTTCTTTGAAAATTCTCAACCTGTTTTGAGTTCTTGCGTATCTGACTTTCACTTTAGGTTCCTTGCGTATATGTTTGCAACGGTTGTCATTCAGAGTTATATATTTATTCCGACAACCCTTATATATTTCTTGAAATTTTGTTCCCCAAATTCTGCCTCTCATGGATCCTTCTAACCATTTATTGGTAAGACTGGCAAATCCTTCCATGAAATTATACTGTCATTACTTAACATTGCTTGTTTTTGTATAGGTCCTTACTAAATAAGTGTGCCTCCCCCCTTATACTCTTACTAACCTTAGATCCATTAGCTCCGCTGGTCACTCATCTTCATACTCCTTTACAAGCCATAGCCCCCCTTCCCCAAAACTCTTCTATTGTTGTTTTGACTGGACAGACATTTGGGGATTTTGTGTATATTAATGGAAGAGTGGTGTTGAAGAGTGTATTGCAGTTGTATATGGATTTGTTATGAATGTGGATATTCTGATCATTGAATTATTATTGTAATAATGATAATAATTATTGCCACTTTTGTTGATTACTTCCTTTGATGCGGTTGATGAAGATGCCATTGTTCCATTTTTTTCCCTTTTTTTCTTTTGGAATACACCGGAATTTATATTTTTCGGGTGGGTGAATCTGGAGATAGAAATACGTAAATAAATTAATAAATAAACAAATAACGAAATTCTTAACCAGGTGTGGAAATGTGTGTTCTTTTCTGTTGTTGATGCACCAATTTGAGCTTTTCTCAATTTCTCAAAGAATCCAACTATTTCATATTAAAGAGTAAACCGTGTGTCTCAAGAACACCATGTTGTCCAAAACTATATGAAAAACACAGGTCAGGGAGCCACACCGCTGCACTGGGCACCTTACCATGAACACACACGTAGTCTAGTGTTTAATTCAACACCATCCTGCTGCCATAAATAATTACTAGAGTGCCAAATGTGTTTGAAAATAATGCATGGTTTGAGTTTGAGTAATGCTTGCTAAAAACTACTGTGCCCAGCTGTTTTAGGAAATCCATCCATCCATCCATCGTCAACCGCTTATCCTACATACAGGGTCGCGGGGGGCTGGAGCCAGTCCTAGCTTACATCGGGCAATAGGCAGGGTACACCCTGGACAGGTCGCCAGTCCATCACAGGGCCACACATAGACAAACAACTACTCACACCTAAGGACAGTTTTGGAGACACCAATCAACCTAGCCTGCATGTCTTTGGATGGTGGGAGGAAGCTGGAGCACTTGGAGAGAACCCACGCCGACACAGGGAGAACATGCAAACTCCAGGGGCAACTGGGGTTTGAACCCATGACCTTCTTGCTGTGAGGTGACAGTGCTAACCACTGCATCACCACACCACCCTGTTTTAGGAAATCATTCAGCCAAAAAAAAGAGATATATTTCTTACCAGTTTTTAAGGATTTTACATCTTCTTAGAACAAATGGACTTAAGGCTGAGTACCACATACAGAAAGTACTGAAAGAAGGACTACCACATTGTTGGTTTTGGTCTTTTCATGGGATTTGTTGACAGTGACAAAAATATAGAATATCGACCATGTCCTTTGTTTAGTCTATAAAATAGCCAATCAAAATTTCCCAGAGTGACATTTTTTAATTATATATATATATTATTAAATGATATATCTGATAAACAGCCCAAAACTCCAAATGACTTCATATACAACCATATGAAACAGACAATCCTCACATTTGAGAAACTGGTACCAGCATTTTTTATTTAATTATTATTAAATATCTCAAATTGACTAAATGTAAATGTGTAGGCTCACAGCATGCACACCCTCTTAACAAGGTTGTGAATCTTAAAGAAAAAAAAATCCTCTATCATGTCAAAAATGTAACACTTTGTATCTGAATACTAAATGAAGCAAAGGTTAGGTTGTTGATCTGTTTTGATGGTTGCATACCTTTCTCCCAATGTTTGAAATAGAAAGAATCATTTTCTGGATTTACAAGCTTTTTCACTCTTATTTTGTGTCTGGATCTCTTCTTAGATCACAGGTACATTTGTGAAGCTTGTGGTTGCATCACAGTGCTTGCTCATCTGGGTCATTACATTTTTTCTGCATCTCAGGAATGTAATTCTTCTCTTGTAAGCAGAGCAGATCATTTCCTCACACTCTCCCCAGCTGAGTTACTGAGAGTATGGAAGGCAGGCAGGATCTGGGAACTGGGGACTCGACTGAATATAGCAAGCTTGTAATTATCCTCATCCTCCTACACTTAATCGCCTCCAGTTCCTTGTGAGTTGGCAACTTCTGAGTTTGGACAGAGGAGAAAAAAATAGCACAATGGAAGAGCAATAGATGGCTCATGGTGTGTAAACCGGACACACCATAGATCAGAGCATCAAACACACTCATATAATTATTCTTCCAGGTTAAGGTCTGAAAGATATTCATGCCACAATGAAATTAACATTTCTGTAAACTATGTGCCTATGTAATAATTTGACAAAAATCATGGTGTTTATATCAAAATTACATTACTTTTACTACTTGGAGAATATCATTACATGCCTATACATTTTCAACTAACAAAACTATCACATAGTGAACCATCAGCTTAATAAAACTCTTAATTCTGGCATATCAATATCCTGTTTCCGTAGTCAGGAAATACATAATACATGGAATTTAGGAAGCAAGCATCTCTTAAAATAAATCTTTGTGACTTTAACATTGCATTTATAAGGAAATTATAATCTATGATCTTTATAGACCTCTATTGGCAGCCAGGAGGAATTACAACAACATAGTTTATTGTGGCTATGGTCACACCATTCTACCATCATTAATTAGGAAAAGCATTTTTATCAGCCCTTTGTCCTTTGAAACAAAAAAAAGAAGATATGGATGGCATGCAAATGGTGGACTAAACTGATTGAAAAGAACTGATTGTTGTGTGACACAACCATTAGGTAATTTGCGTATAGGCTACGTGCATTCGGCCTACATATCTATATTGGGAATTATGTGAGGTCACCAAAAATAACTAAATAAGGATGATAAATGTGGGTGGTGTTGAAAAGTTGTTCCACACTAACTAATCGGGAAAGATAAGGGAAAACACCTATGAGGGTGGTACATATTGTGTAGAGGCATTAAATTGTGATATGAAATATTTTTTGTAATCTGTAAAACATTTCTGATTCCATTCATGCAGTAGTAGGTTGGGAGGTGAGAGGTAGTCCAAATAACACGTGGGAGTGAGGGGAGCAAGATTATAATAATGAGAGGGAACATGATATATACATAATGTAAGTAAGTCATAAATGATGAATCCAGAAACAAATCCCCAGAAAAGGGTAGGATTTCTCCCATCTCACAAACTACTAAAATGATTTACCAGCTTTAATGCCCCTTTTTTTTTTCAAAAAAGGCAGGAAATGTTTTCATCATGATGTTTGCAAATGGGGGATTTTCAGACTACCTGGCAACAGCCGCTTTAATCTGGTGATAATGTTCTGTAGTCTCGCGATATTCAGGCGGTCACTGCCTGATAGAAATAATGGCCGCCTTCGTAGCGATGGCTGGAACAGGGAACAACACAGGAAGCATATCAGAGCGTTTCAGCTGACTAGGAAGAGCGTAAAGTACTGGGCACCCCCTCCAACCCGGTTTTCAGAACGGATGGGTTGAGGGGGTCTTGCCAAAGGGTATAAGAAACGAAAGAGACTCGGAGGGAAAGGGAGGAAAGCTACCACTACCTTGATAGCTAGCGCTAGCTGGCTATCAACACGGTTGTCACTGCCGGGGAACAACCCCGAGTAGCCCTGACAACTGTGTGTCGGGAGGGCTGAAAGAAAAGGGGACTAAACGCTGGAGCGTGTGATCAAACAACTGGCTTCTTGCTAATATGAGCGGACCGGGGCAGGACAGCGAGCCAGAGGCGAAAGTCCTTCTCATCAAGCGACTTTACAGGTAAGTTGGCGAGGCCGTTTTGCGTAGCTAACCAAGGTGCTAATTGAACGTTATGTGCTGGCTAACTTAGCGCTAACGTTAACCAATTAATGTTTGCTATCACAAGAAAGGGTTCACCTGTTCTTCCATTCAAGATGTCGCGACAAAGAGTAGCCCAACATCCCTGCATAGTTGTCAGTATAACACCGGCTCTGAACGGGCAGTCTTGCTTTGAGGAAATGTAGCTTCTGTTAGCTTATCAATGATCTAATGCTAGCTGTAACGTTATTTATCATTACCGCCCTTGTTACAAAGAAATGAAACTGGAAGGAATTTGGTTGCTAGCATTGTAAGTTAGCCCGCTGTATTTGAGAATCTAACTTAATCTAAATGCTCATGCTTTCTGTGCCCAACGCTACTCAGGGCTGTGGTGGAGTCTGTGCACAAGCTGGATATCATCATCGGCAGCAAGGCATCCTACAGAGAGGTCTTCAAGCCGGAGAACATCAGTCTTCGCAACAAGTATGTCCAGGTGTCTCAGCACTGTGTGTGAAAGGAGTGTAAAACTTTGTGGTAAACCTTATAATCTGCATGCAATCTGAGTGTCATCTGGTCAGTTGTTCTGAACTGTGTGAATTTAAACCCATCAACCAGTTTCTGGTGGCTCACCTCCAGTTCATTTGGCTGATAAGACAACCTCTCTATTGTTCTGCATGTTCTATTGACTACACCGCACAGCATCTCTGTGAGTGCATAGAATCTGTTCAGACGTGGTATTCTGTATCCAAAGTTGTCCATTCCAGTTCACACTTACCTTTGGAAACATGTCTAATGTATTCAAACTGACCTATGCGTCACTTTGGTCATTTGACTCTACCTGTGAGAAATTGTAATCTCCACCAAGATTAAACAAATAAACTGGATGCAATGAACCAAAACCGCAAAAAGAGAAGGTTAGAGGTAAATATGTGAAAGAGGCTTGAACATGTGTCTATGCAGATGTTGAGACAGAGGATATTGTATATCATTCTGCTGAGGGACTGTCTTGGGAGCTAGACTCAATTTGTTCATTTTGGACTGACAAGTAAACATCACATTGGGCTTTAGGAAATTATAATGGACTATTTTCTGACATTTTGTAGACTAAGCCATTAATCAAAAAAGTAAGATTTGTCAATTAATTGTTTGTTGCATGTGCATTTAAACTACAATAGAAGGGCATATGCATCCCTGACAACTTCTGAACATGACACAAGTGATTAGATTCTTTAGCATACATTTTAGGATGCTTTTTATGGATGTAGTGTCTATAAATTAATGCTGCAAATAATGGTTATTTTCATTGTTGATTAATCTGCCGATGACTGACTCGATTAATCATTAAAAAATGTCCACCATCAAGTTTGTATCTTTGCTAGGTGTTTCTGTTCTTTGTATCCCCACCAAGCAAGTGAAACTAGATTTACTCATTAGTCCACTTGTCAAACCGGTGACCCAAGTACCTCCTTATACCTGTGTGAATTTGTTATTCTTTCTGTGTGTTTTCAGGCTGAGGGAACTTTGTGTAAAGTTGATGTTTCTCCATCCAGTTGATTACGGCCGTAAGGCCGAGGAGCTACTCTGGAGGAAGGTTTACTATGAGGTCATCCAGGTTATCAAGACCAACAAGAAGGTAAATGGTCCTACAGTTGTGAGGGGAAAAAAATCCTCTTTGCATGTTAGTCAACCAGTGTTTCTTTTGCTAGCTGACTTGACA